TAAAAATACAAATTCTACGCAATGACTTATTTTCATTGTTAGTGAGTTTAAATTGATCCCGAAATAAGAAAATCTTTAGAGAGTATAATATATATAATATATATATATATATAATATATATTATAGCTTTGTTCATCCATCTGGTACTTAGACGCTTTTAAATTAAGTAAATAATATATATATATATATGTATATTAGGGTGCTTCAAAGAATTTTTTTTTTCGCTCTTACCCTCTCAAATTTTGTTATTTAAAATAAAAAAAATCCTCACCAAATATGGGCGTTCCAGCTCAACTCTAAGAGGTCGCTGTTTTTATTTTAGTTTCCCATTAAATTAATTTATGTTTGGAATTTTATACCTCTGTATCAAAGTAACTTATGGCAATGATCATTGCAGTTTCTTATATAAAATTTAACGCTCTACAAAACAGGTCTCTTATTATTTTTCGATAAATTGATTTCTTCTATTCAAGTTATTCGAGGTCAAAGTTTGATTAACATTAAATTTTCTGTTTTTTTAAATTTTATGGTATAATTAGCAGACGAGAGGTGAAAGGGGGCAAAACGAGGCAGCGTTGCCCCCCCGCTGGGGCACCCAAAAAGTTTCGTAAATTTTTTGTTTTATTGTTTTTTTCGGTTTCTAAATCATTTGAAAATATATTTACTCACCAAGAAAAAGGATGGTACAATTTTGGAAAACTTTTCATATGCTCATTTTTTGGGTACCCCATTTTGCACCCCGCTGCCTTGTTTTGCCCCCTTCCACCTCAAGTCTGCTAATTGTACCATAAAATTAAAAAAAAAACAGAAAATTTGATGTTAATCAAACTTTGACCTCGAATAACTCTAGAAGAAATCAATTTATCGAAAAATAATAAGAGACCTTTTTTGTAGAGCGTTAAATTTTATATAAGAAACTGCAATAATCATTGCCATAAGTTACTTTGATACAGAGGTATAAAATTCCAAATATAAAATTATTTTTTCCCATGTTAATTCAATGGGAAACTAAAATAAAAACAGCGACCTCTTAGAGTTGAGCTGGAACGCCCATATTTGGTGAGGATTTTCTTTATATTAAATAAAAACATTTGAGAGGGTAAGAGCGAAAAAAAATTTTTTTTTGAAGCACCCTAAGCACCCTAAGCACCCTATTTATATTTATATAATTTATCAACTACCTGGTAGTATGTCCTATAGGACCTAAATTTTGATAGTATACCTAAATTTTGATACTATCAAAATTTAAGAATATTAATTATTATTGTGGTATGTCAATTTAGCAACATCTAGACAGAATCAAATAATTTTGGTATCAAAATTTGAGAATTGTTGTATGTCAATAATTTTAATAAAATTTAAATTTCTGCTTAAGCCATATCAATGCAGTGAATAATTTTGTAGTTAACGTTATTTTATTTTTGTTGTAAAAAGGACCTAATTTAATAACTCCCTAGTGTAATTAATTAAATATGGTATCAAAAATAAAGAAATATTATAAAAATACGTCATAATTAATAAAACGGATATAAATTATTTATAAAATCGTTTGAAAATGGGAAAAATCTAAATTACTTAATTATTTTTAGGTTATATTTTATATAAATCAAATAAAATATTTCTTTCGGCAGGTTTTCTGCATACTAAATAATTTAAGTGTTATTTTCTTAGTTTTTTTACGGTACCATCATACGAGCCCTAACCACATAATGTTCGGACACTTCATAATTTATACAGAAATTTTTTTCGTGAATACTATCTCAAAATTATTAGAAGTTATGAAAAATTCAGCTTATTTTGGCATATACCCCTCGAAGCGATTTTTATTTTTAAAAAGTTTACCTTTTATTTTTAGCTTTTAAAAAAAGGCTAACTTTTTAACTTTTTTTTGTATGAGTAAAAAAAGTTATAAATAGACCCATTAAAAAGAGCATAAAATATTATACAAACCCTGAAAATTTGGTAAAAAATAAATAAGTTATAAAAAAGTATAAGTAATTTAAAAATGCTATTTTTAAAGAGTTTTTGCAATTTTCTTAGGAAACGGGAGATTTTGCAGATATATATATCGCTATAACTTTCTTATTATTTATACAATTTTTACCAAATTTTCAGGGTTTGTATAATATTTTATGTTCTTTTTAATGGGCCCATTTATAACTTTTTTTACTCATGCAAAAAAAAGTTAAAAAGTTAGCCTTTTTTTAAAAGCTAAAAATAAAAGGTAAACTTTTTAAAAATAAAAATCGCTTCGAGGGGTATATGCCAAAATAAGCTGAATTTTTCATAATTTCTAATAATTTTGAGATAGTATTCACGAAAAAAATTTCTGTATAAATTATGAAGTGTCCGAACATTATGTGGTTAGGGCTCGTAGTGCGATTCCAATTGTTGATTATTTTATAAGATGATACGTTTTTATTAACAAATTATTTTTTTTCATGAAATTTTTTTTTTTCTGTAAAGTTCAATACATTGTCTCAGAGGGTATTAAAAAATTAGGTAACCCTTAAATTTTTAATAATATCGATTAAAAACTAACGGAGTTATTTACTATTTTGTGCAGTAATAATTTCGCGGCTCGAATGTGCAAAAATACGAAAATTGATTTGAGCGACCTCTAAATATTCATCGAATTTGGATTTTTTGGTATCAATATTTTAGTTTTAATGTAATCTTTATAATTTAGGCCAGTGCGGGTTCATTTTTAAAAAAAGGCTTTTTTTGAATCACCCTAATGAGCATAGTATAATTCTTTATTTTTAAAAATTGTTATTCAACAACAAATAAATTATTTAATATTTATTTCAAATAATCAATACACAATAAAAGTATAAACGAAAAACTCTTAGAATAAAATAAAATTAAACCAACAAACAAATAACATAAACTTAGGAATAAATTTTTTTTATAAAACGACAACAAAAATTTTGTTACAGAATAAACAAAATTTATATTTATAAATGTGATGAAAGTTTTAACAATATAAAAAATTAATTTTATTAGATAGGTATAGAATTTCATCTGTTTTCTACAAAATTAATTAATTTAAATATTTTTTTATTTCAATCGTGTAATTAAGTAAATAGCAAAGAAAAATATAAATAAAAAAAAATTAAAACAGGTTATTTTGTTTCTTAATTTTGTGCTTAACGGTATTGCTTTTACGTATGTAATCCTTATCTTTAATTCAAATCCATTTGTAAGAAAATTATTTGTGCTTTGGAACCGTAGCTGATATTAAAAAAAATCTGTCACTGTGTCACGTGACACGTGTCTCTTAGAAATACATAGAATTAACAATTAACCTGCCATCTTTAGGTCAATTGCAAAGATGTGCAATGCTCAATTTTGACCAAAACTGTACTTATTTTTTCAATACCCTGTAGCAAAATAAATTAAGAATCACGCCATGAAATATTAGGAACAATCTATAATGTTAAAAATTCATTTTAAATGAAGAAACAGTTTAAGAAGGTCATTATAGAGTGTCATGATCATTTTAAAAATATCAATTTAAAAATGTTATGTACACAATTTGGATTTAAAATAAACCCTTTAAAAATGTTGAAAACACATTTAGAATGCTTAACCTATTTAGTATTTTATCTACTCCTACATTGACGAGCGGTGACGTTATGACGTTTAAGTCACGGGCTGAAGTTAACAACGTTGGCTTTGGGGCATTTTAGTCACGGGCTGAAGTTAGCTTTATTATAAATTGCGAAAAAGTGAGGTTAAATTCGTCAAATATCAAATATTTATGAATTAAAATTGGCTTTTAATTCTTTTTTCTGTTCGTCGTAGGTAAAGTATTGTATGCAATAAACTTCTCTAGACACTCGTTTTTATGAAACACTAGCTCGCAAGCTTCGCTCGCTAAAAAAACTCTTAACCAAAATGGCGTTTATGAAACTTAATACATTATATACTATTTCTCAATAAAAAAGTTAAAAACTAATTTAAGAATGTTGAAAAACACAATTGAGAATGTTAAAAACTCCTGATCATATTAAAAATGTCGATTTAAGAATGCTATAAACACAATTTGAATTGTTAAATAAACATATAGAAATGATAAAAAAGCTTTAGAATGTTTATGTCACACTTACCTAAGAATTTCAAAAACATCTATGTTTAGTTTTCGTTTTTGTTTTATTAGTGGACAAATAAACCTTTTTGGCCAACAATTTCCGCATCAAATCCTACTACAGCAAGCCAATATATTTTTATTAGGATAAAAACTAATTTTCTTCTCCTAACTCATCCTATATTAAACGTGTACTTTCTCCTATTAACCTTTTTAAAAGTGTTTTGTCTAAATTAGTGAATTTTATTAAACTACGGTTGTGAATTTTTTGGTAAACTACGATTGTGAACTATATTACAATACTCCTTATTGCATGTCATTTTTAGCCACTTGTATCTATAAATAGAACAGCATAGGAGTAAATGGATTTATAAATCTAAAAAAAATGTTGAAAGTAAACAAAATATATTTAAATAGTTTAATTGTGGAGTAATTAGACAAAAGCAGATAAATACAGTTTTGTTGAAAAATGAGTAATTCATTGGTGAACTCAGAATTGAGCCAAACCAAGTAATTGATTTAGAGTACCGGTCTCGAAACATAGCAAATCAAGCAAAAGCAGATAAATCCAAATTCATAAAATTTAAATTCTTCTTTCAATGAAAATAAGATAAATTCACATTATTTTTATTTTAAATTAACTTAAATGGCATTAACATTTTTTAGATTAATTCTGGGCCACCATGTTTCAAGCAAATGGAGATAAATCCTGTCAATTCAAGCAACACTAGATAAATCCTTTTGTTCTTTAATATTACACTTGATGTAGGTGGACAAAAAATAAAAAATGAGTTTTTAGGTCTTATAACCTATACTCAATACTATAGAGTCTATAGAATACATGGGTTGTTCTTTGTGTAAATGTTGCAGAACGAAAAATATTAGTTTTTCGCTGATAACTGGAAACTGCTTAAAACGGATTTATCTGCTTTTGTCTAATTGCTCCACAATTAGTTACCACTATCAAAGCATCAATTTTCATCTTGTAGATGGGTCCAATAGAGAAACATAGAGGTATTTGAGCTCTACGGATTAAAACAATTAAGCTTTTTTTAACATCCAACTCATAAGTGGTCCATTCTGACTCGAAAGCTGCTTGAGCTATATTTTGACTCTAAAATATTTATTTTAAAAATCAGGTTAACCTTTGCATTTAAAACTTACCTCTATGAAAACCAAGTGTGCATGCCAATACGTTAAGAAGAGTTGGACAGTGGATATAACAAAATAAGTAAACGACTCGCATCTAAGCAAAAAAGGAATTTCATTATTCAACATTTGTACAACCAAAAAGGCCATTTGAAGAGAATATAGGAGGAAATCCGCCAGCATGATCAACTGTATTAATTTATTTACCTCCTCCACAAATTTTATGCTTCTCGTATGTTCGGTAATTATATTTCTTACTAGAGCCCTCTGTGCATTTTCATATGACAAGTTGAATATGCGTTCGTATCTCCTAGCGTAGGATGAAAAGTTTTTTAAAACATGCTGGAGGATTTTTAACTCTGCGGTCGAGAAAATAAACATGCAGAAGTATAAGGCTACGGTGTTGCAAACATAAGAAAAACCAATGGCGATACCGAAAAATTGAATTAAATAAGCTACCGTATAATACCGGTTTTGATCGAACGGAAACCAGGACGATACGATAAAATAGTGCCCATCAACGGTTTCATTTGGTTTTAGGTTGAGATCTTCCAAAAAAAAAGGCGTCGTATAATATAAAGAAAGTCCCACAAGAGAACAACCAAATAAAAGTATGACAGCTTTATGTGCGTGGCTAGCATATTTTCGGTAAATCAATTTGACTGCTTCGTCTTCAGCAGCTAGAAGAAATAAACTAGTGTCCAAACTGTCGTCCAAAGTTGAAGAACCGTTAACAGCATTTTTAATTAAACTGATAAAAAACCTTCAATACTTTGTACAGAAAAGGTTCTCAGTTAACCAGTTCCAGTCTAGCCTCTACATGCAAAAATTATAAATCCCAAGTACATAATGCAGAATTTCTTTACAATTCTAATCAGGCATATCAAAAACTCATTTTCGTCAAAAATGTCAGTTAAGGATTATTTCCTTTGGACAGCAGAATACTTACCTAAATAGGTATTTTTCTTACGTTCCATTTCTTCAAGTAAATCCTTTATTTTAGGTGATATTACAACTAAAACCTTGCTAACTACAACTGTAGCAGGTAGAGTGACACTTAAGTTGGCAGCAGTTTTTTCAAAATCTTTTCCAAATACCGAAATGCCTTGAATTACTTCACTTAGGTTGAATATGATATAATACACAAATCTAAATAGATAAAAAAATAATTCGGATTTTATATTTTAAGTTTTTTTAATAAAAAAAGTTTTGAAACAAGAATTTTAAGTGCTAGATGTCAAACTGAATGAAGTTTGGATTATAAAAGTCACTAATGACAACTTCTGCCATACCATTATTAATTAGTAGGTCATTAAATAAGTAAAAAAAATGTCCTTAAGTCATTTGCTCGCGTCTGGCATTTTTTTTTAACTTGAAGTCTCTAACAAGACTTTCAGATAAATAACATCGCCAGACGTGTATGTCTATGCATTAATGAGTATTTAATTTTTTTTTAAATTATGATAAATAAAAATTTAAGTGATTTGCTCGTCAATAAATTTATAATAAATGTTAATTGGGTCATTAAAAAGCAAAAAATAAAAGTCTGTCATTTAATGTTTATTGCGATAATGAACGAAAAATTTTCAAAATTGTAAAAAAAATTAATATTAAGTTATTTGCTCTTGTCTGGCTCTTAGTTAAATTATTCTGTTGTATGTAAGAACTGTGAATATAACTATGCCAGACATGAGTATTTTTTAAATTAAAATATAAAACAATGCACAAAAGTCTCCAAAATTAAATAATAAATAAATAATATGTATCTTACCCCATGTAGAAATATAAATTGTAGAGTTTCTGTTTAGTGCCAGTAAGTTTTAGTGGCCATAACCCAACACCAACACTGTAATATTTAACCAATTTAATAAGTAGGTGATCAGTCATATTCTACAAATTATTACCAACAGTTATTCCAAAAGTTTAAACCAGATTAATTTATAATTGTCCAATTCATGAGAACTTGCATATTATTCAGCTTGCTTAATAAATATATTAAGTATATATTTAAGATATAATTATGATTTCGTGGCTTAGGCGAAGGTAAAAACAATTAAATTTAAATGGATCATTTATTAGCAGTATTGAAGAAAAACACAGTCTACAAGGTTTTGGGCTGGGTTAACCTTAAATTTTGGTACCCTGATTTTAGTCTGTTTTGCTTTATCTTAGGAAAATCGTTGGTTGGTGGTCCTAAACTTACCTTGCCAGATAGCCGAATCTTGTTCGCCGCTATTAGTCAACTTCTTACTAAATAAGCATAGTATAATTCTTAATTTTTAAAAATTGTTATTCAACAACAAATAAATTATTTAATATTTATTTCAAATAATCAATACGCAATAAAAGTATAAACGAAAAATTCTTAGAATAAAATAAAATTAAACCAACAAACAAATAACATAAACTTAGCAATACATTTTTTTTATAAAACGACAACAAAAATTTTGTTACAGAATAAACAAAATTTATATTTATAAATGTGATAAAAAAAGTTTTAACAATATAAAAAATTAATTTTATTAGATAGGTATAGTATTTCATCTGTTTTCTACAAAATTAATTAATTTAAATAATTTTTTATTTCAATCGTGTAATTAAGTTAATAGCAAAGAAAAATATAAATTAAAAAAAATTAAAACAGGTTATTTTGTTTCTTAATTTTGTGCTTAACGGTATTGCTTTTACGTATGTAATCCTTATGTTCAATTCAAATCCATTTGTAAGAAAATTATATGTGCTTTGGAACCGTAGCTGATATTAAAAAAAAATCTGTCACAGTGTCACGTGACACGTGTCACTTAGAACTACATGGAATTAACAATTAACCTGCCATCTTTAGGTCAATTGCAAAGATTTGCAATGCTCAATTTTGACCAAAACTGTACTTATTTTTTCAATACCCTGTAGCAAAATAAATTAAGAATCACGCCATATTATTATTAGGAACAATCTATAGTGTTAAAAATTCATTTTAAAAGAGGAAACAGTTTAAGAAGGTCATTATAGATCGTCATGATCATTTTAAAAATATCAATTTAAAAATGTTATGTACACAGTTTGGATTTAAAATAAACCCTTTAAAAATGTTGAAAACCCATTTAGAATGCTTAACCTATTTAGTATTTTATCTACTCCTACATTGACGAGCGGTGACGTTATGACGTTTTAGTCACGGGCTGAAGTCAACAACGTTGGCTTTGGGGCATTTTAGTCACGGGCTGAAGTTAGCTTTATTATAAATTGCGAAAAAGTGAGGTTAAATTCGTCAAATATCAAATATTTATGAATTAAAATTGGCTTTTAATTCTTTTTTCTGTTCGTCGTAGGTAAAGTATAGTATGCAATTCGTTTTATAAACTTCTCTAGACACTCGTTTTTATGAAACACTAGCTCGCAAGCTTCGCTCGTGCCTAAAAAAAAACTCGTAACTAAAATGGCGTTTATGAAACTTAATACATTATATACTATTTCTCAATAAAAACGTTAAAAACTAATTTAAGAATGTTTAAAAACACAATTGAGAATGTTAAAAACTCCTGATCATATTAAAAATGTCAATTTAAGAATGCTATAAATACAATTTGAATTGATAAATAAACATATAGAAATGATAAAAAAGCTTTAGAATGTTTATGTCACACTTACCTAAGAATGTCAAAAACATCTATGTTTAGTTTTCGTTTTTGTTTTATTAGTGGACAAATAAACCTTTTTGGCCAACAATTTTAGCATCAAATCCTACTACAGCAAGCCCCTATATTTTTATTAGGATAAAAACTAATTGCCTTCTCCTAACTCATCCTATATAATAATAATAATAATTCTCTTATTAACCTTTTTGAAAGTGTTTTGTCTAAATTAGTGAATTTTATTAAACTACGGTTGTGAATTTTATGTTAAACTACGATTGTGAACTATATTACAATACTCCTTATTGCATGTCATTTTTAGCCTCTTGTATCTATAAATAGAACAGCATAGGAGTAAATGGATTTATAAATCTAAAAAAATGTTAAAAGTAAACAAAATATATTTAAATAGTTTAATTGTGGAGTAATTAGACAAAAGCAGATAAATACAGTTTTTTTTGAAAAATGAGTAATCCATTGGTGAACTAAGAGTTGAGCCAAACCAAGTAATTGATATAGAGTACCGGTCTCGAAACATAGCAAATCAAGCAAAAGCAGATAAATCCAAATTCATACAATTTAAATTCTTCTTTCAATGAAAATAAGATAAATTCACAATATTTTTGTTTTAAATTAACTTAAATGGCATTAACATTTTTTTAGATTAATCCTGGACCACCATGTTTCAAGCAAATGGAGATAAATCCTGTCAATTCAAGCAACACTAGATAAATAATTTTGTTTTTTAATATAACACTTTATGTAGGTGGACAAAAAATAAAAAATGAGTTTTCAGGTCTTATAACACTATACTCTATAGAATATATGGGTTTTTCTTTGTGTAAATGTTGCAGAACGAAAAATATTAGTTTTTCGCTGATAACTGGAAACTGCTTAAAACGGATTTATCTGCTTTTGTCTAATTGCTCCACAATTAGTTACCACTATCAAAGCATCAATTTTCATCTTGTAGATGGGTCCAATAGAGAAACATAGAGGTATTTGAGCTCTACGGATTAAAACAATTAAGCTTTTTTTAACATCCAACTCATAAGTGGTCCATTCTGACTCGAAAGCTGCTTGAGCTATGTTTTGACTCTAAAATATTTATTTTAAAAATCAGTTTAACCGTAGCATTTAAACTTACCTCTATGAAAACCAAGTGTGCATGCCAATACGTTAAGAAGAGTTGGACACTGGATACAACAAAATAAGTAAACGACTCGCATCTCAGCAAAAAAGGAATTTCATTATTCAACATTTGTACAACCAAAAAGGCCATTTGAAGAGAATATAGGAGGAAATCCGCCAGCATGGTCAACTGTATTAATTTATTTACCACCTCCACAAATTTTATGATTCTTGTATGTTCGATAATTATATTTCTTACCAGGGACCTCTGTGCATCTTCATATGACAAGTTGAATATGCGTTCGTATCTCCTAGCGTATGACGAAAAGTTTTTTAAAACATGCTGGAGGATTTTTAACTCTGCGGTCGAGAAAATAAACATGCAGAAGTATAGGGCTATGGTGTTGCAAATATAAGTAAAACCAATGGCGATACCGAAAAATTGTATTAAATAGGCTAAGGTATAATACTGGTTTTGATCGAACGGAAACCAGGACGATACGATAAAATAGTGCCCATCAACGGTTTCATTTGGTTTTAGGTTGACATCTTCCAAAAAAAAAGGCGTCGTAAAATATAAAGAAAGTCCCACAAGAGAACAACCAAATAAAAGTATGAAAGCTTTACGTGCGTGGCTAGCATATTTTCGGTAAATCTGTTTGAGTGCTTCGTCTTCAGCAGCTACAAGAGATAAACTACTGTCAAAACTGTCGTCCAAAGTTGAAGAACCGTTAACAGCATTTTTAATTAAACTGAGAAAAAACCTTCAATACTTTGTAAAGAAAAGGTTGTCAGTTAACCAGTTCCACCAGTTCTACATGCAAAAATAAAAAATCTCAAGTACATGTACATGTACATTAGGGTGTCCGTTATTTACCAACTTGGTTTTTTTGTTTGCAGCGCCCCCTAAATTTTTAGTTTATTTAAAAATTAAAAAAAAATATTCATATTAAACCGTGCCACAAAGACGATGGGGTTTCGGCAAGTTTTCACTGATTTAAAAGTACATGTACATGTACATAATGCAGAATTTCTTCACGATTCTAATCAGGCATATCAAAAGCTCATTTTCGTCAAAAATGTCAGTTTCCTTTGGACAGCAGAATACTTACCTAAATAGGTATTTTCCTTACGTTCCATTTCTTCAAGTAAACCCTTTATTTTAGGTGATATTACAACTAAAACCTTGCTAACTACAACTGAAGAAGGTAGAGTGACACTAAAGTTGGCAGCAGTTTTTTCAAAATCTTTTCCAAATACCGAAATGCCTTGAATTACTTGACTTAGGTTGAATATGATGTAATACACAAATCTAAATAGATAAAAAAATAATTCGGATTTTAGATTTTAAGTTTTTTTAATAAAAAAAGTCTTGAAAGGAAAATTTTAAGTAAGTAGGTATTTAAGGCTTTTCAGATTATGTACCTGTCAAAGTATAGTCAACGAAAGAAATAATATTATGTTTAGGCGTTAAAAATGTATAAATCTTTATAACATTAGAATAACAATGGATGGTTTAAGAATTTAAGAATATCAATACTGCATTTAATGAAATTCTAAAGTGTATGGTGCCAAATAAGTAATATTTTTGTACATTTGGTCCAAATATTTGGTTTTCTCCATAAAATAATTTTAACTAAACAGCATTTATTTAAAAAAATCTAGCTTCTCTATTATGGAATAAGAATATCTGTATTAAAGGTAGGTTCATATATTATAACAAAAATATCATCTAATTTTGTAATTTTAAGGTTAGAAAAATTTATTTTGACCAAAATAAATAAGTATTTTGGATTATTTAAAAGACTGTATAATATGGTATTTAAAAATGTGGTAGTTTTTCTTATCCAGCTTAAAGTGTACCTACATAAAGTTTTGTCAATACAAATAGTTAAAAAGCTTCGACTGAATTTGATCTACATCAAAAAATCATTATAAATTTTAATAAATCACATGTCATGGGAGTATTAAATATTTTCACATTCCAAGTTTCTCTAAAAATTGTTTGTTTTCTTATAATCTAACTAAAAGTAAGTATGCCGAGAGGTATGCACAAGTTTTGTCGTTAGAAGTATAAAAGCTTCAATTTAATTTGAACTATATTCAACAATTATTTAGTATACCTATATTTATTTATGACCATATTAACACTTCTTTCAAATAATCCACTTATTTATTTAGGTCAGAATAGATTTTTCTAACCTTAAAATACAAAATTAGATGATATTTTTTGTTCTTATACATTAACCTACCTTTGATACAGATATTCTTATTTCATAATAGAGAAGTTAGATTTTTTTTAATAAATGCTGTTTAGTTAAAACTATTTTATGGAGAAATGTAGACCCAATGTACAAAAATATAACTTATATTGCACCTTACACTTTGGAATTTCAATAAATGCAGTATTTATATTCCTAAATTCTTAAACCAACCATTGTTATTGTGATACTATAAAGATTTATTAACGCTTAAACATAAGCGGTAACACTATAAATATGATTTCTTTCCTTGTATATACTTTGACAGATACATAACCTGAAAAGCCTTAAATGCCAAATTTTCAAAAGACTGCGTTCCGTACTTGGTCACGTGGTGGGACTTTGAGGTGTGGAGCATAGTTAAAGTGACTAGATTCTGTCAAAAAATTGAGGGACATTTTGTATGAATTTACCTTAATTACAAAATTGACACAATGATACAATGCAAATAGTAAATTTGACGTTACTTAATTATTGTTGATTGTGTCATTTTTGTAATTAAGGTTAATTTACACAAAATGTCCCGTTATTTTTTGACAGAATCTGGTCACTTTAAGCATAGTACGTACAAAATCGTTCATACTTTAAAAATTTCAATAAAATTTCGTAAAGGGTCGTTTTGATGGATGGTGAATCCAGTGCCGGGCATATATTTTTTTAATCGCTAATATGAATTCTTAAAAATTTACCACTAAACTTGGTGTTAATATCTCAGATTGTTTGGACACGCTCTATAAAATTTAAAAACATGTTTTATTTTTTTTAATTTAAAATATAATAAAAGTCTCTAAAATTAAATAATAAACGAATAATATGTTTCTTACCCCATGAAGAAATAAAAATTGTAGAGTTTCTGTTTAATGCCATTAAGTTTTAGTGGCCATAACCCAATACCAACACTGGAATATTTAACCAATTTCAGTAGGTGATCAGTCATGTTGTACAAATGATTAACAACACTTATTTGAAAAGGATAAAACATAATTTATAATTGTCCAGTAAATTTATTAGGACTTGTGTATCATGCATATTAAATATATTAAGTAGGTATAATTATTATTTCTTAATCATACATTTGCGAAGCTAAAAGCAATTAAATTTAAATTAACCATTTAGCAGTATTGACGAAAAACTCTGGTCTACAAGGTTTTGGACTGGATTAATAATAAATATTTGGTACCCTGAAGTTGGTTTTGCTTCATCAGGTTCTCGAAAAATTCGAACCCAAAAGTATATGGTATATGGGGCAAAACACCTCAAGTGTTCCCACCTAAAAATGATGTTTTCTACGATTTTAACAAAACTTTGCCAAATCATTGTCCTATTGGACTACCTTAATTTTCCAAATGGGGGGCAAAAAGGATTAGCGGGTTGCAGAGATACAGGGGCCTGAAAATTTATTTTTTTCTCGTGCGCTTAAAAGACGTAGAAATATTCATGTATATAATATTTTTTTTTTAAATTGATAATCAACATATTGTATAGCATTTTTTCCACGCTTTACGATAAAAATGGTCTCGAAACGGTCCCTACGCGCTTCAACCCTTATTTTTTTTGACTTATTCTTGGGATCCCATCTTCATATTACATCAAAAATTAGGAAATTGAAAAAGCTTTCTTTTGATATTAATTTATAAAAAATCCAATGTGTCGCATTTCGAGAAAAAAACAAATATATTTTTAAAATCGTTTTTTTATAACCAAAAATTTTTTTCTCGCTTTCGAGACCATTTTTATCGTAAAGCGTGGAAAAAATGCTATACGATATGTTGATTATCAATTTAAAAAAAAATTATTATATACATGAATATTTCGACGTCTTTTAAGCGCACGAGAAAAAAATTAAATGTTCAGGCCCCTGTATCTCTGCAACCCGCTAATTATTTTTGCCCCCCATTTGGAAAATTAAGGTAGTCCAATAGGACAATGATTTGGCAAAGTTTTGTTAAAATCGGAGAAAACATCATTTTTAGGTGGGAACACTTGGTGTTTTGCCCCATATCCCTTTTTTTCAATACTTGCTATGTCCTCTGAAAGTAATACACTTTCCCTAAAAGATCCTTGTTGATTTTTTCAATATTCTTTCTGTCGTTGGTTGAAGTTTATCAACGTACCTTCAAGGTACTACCTTGCCAGATAGCCGAACCTTGTTTTTTATTCATCGCTGTCTTGATGAAACTGTTAGTTTCCATAAAGGTTAAGTAACACAATAGTATATTCTAATCGCTGTCTCGATGAAACTGGTAGTTTCCATAAAGGTTAAGTAACACAATAGTATATTGTAATCCTTTTTTTTTTTTTAAATTTAATTCAACAACAAATAAATTATTTAATATTTAGGTGTTTCAAATAATCAATACACGATAAAAATATAAACAAAAAAACTAACACATAGAAGAGTCGTTAACCAATTTTTTTCATTTACAAATGTAAACAGAACCCTTTACTAAAATATTTTATAATAATTTTTTTTTAATTTAATTTTTTTTGTGAAAACATATTTAACTTTGCTGCCTGAAATTTCAGTATTTGATAACTCGATATTAATTGATTTTTAAAATACATATGTAAGTTAAGCATTTTTTTATTATTATTTTACCCATTGACTTCTTCACTCAACGCTCAGAGGATATGATGTAAAGTATATTTATGTATTATATAAAGTACCTATATTTGTATTAAAAATTTCAGAGGTGAAAAAATGATCGATATGCTATTAAACTTTAATAATTTAGTAATGAGGTCTGTTGGTAGACCATGCACATCTCCACTGGTATATGTTAGTATAGCAATATTTAAATCTGGTTGATCAAAAATTACACACCAGTGCAGGTTATTGTAGGTTCTACGAACAAATGAATTAATGGCCCATTAGCAATTATTCCTTTAGGAAAAATATTCAACACAGCTTAGTTAATTAATAAAATGGATAAAATCACAATCATGTCGTATATAGTTTTTTTTTTCAAGCATAAAATAATTTTTATATTAATACTAGTTCAAAAGTCAAATTACGACCTCTATACTGTGGAGAGTATTGAAACGCTCGACTGACGAATACAACTCTATACCGTGGCGAGGGTTTAGAAAACTATTTAAAAGTGGCGTCACACAGTGTTTCAATTCTCGAAATTTTCGGCAAAATATTAAGGAGTAGTCGGATCCTCCTAAAAATCCGTAAATAGAGGATTTTGGGGTCGATGATAACGAATCTGGAATCAGAATTCCAAAATTCAAAATGGTAGATCCAAAATGGCGGACATCAAAAAATTGACGGAATAAATTGAAAATCACCATACAGGGGTTTTTGTGGTCGCTGATAATAAATCTGCAATCAGAATTCCAAAATTCAAAATGGTGGACCTCAAATGGCGGACATTTTTATCAAAAAGTCGAAATTAATTAAAAACCCGTGAGAGGTTCTTTTTAAAATGTAAATAAAACATCTTTTTATAAAATAGCCTAATTAAGTTTATTATAATTACATTTATGTGATATTATTTAATACCTACATATATTTTAAACAATCTCCGTCATTGGATTCGCTAAAAAAATTGTCAACACAAATAACCACAATTCAAATTTGACATTAACACACTACAATGCGCATGCGGAGTTGTTGTAACGAACCTACAAGAGGTTGGTTAAATATGTAAAATCGGTGTTAAATATCTTAGTAGTCACGAACGATTTACGCAAGTGAAAGTCTAGACACCGCTGTTGTAATAAACGTTTTGAGATAAATCCGAGTGAATCGAGTAAACGTCATGAACGCAACCTAGAAATAAAAAAAATCTTATATTTTGTCGCGCGCGCGACATAGGCTTAAAATCGCGAGGTTTTTTTACCACAACCGTGCCTGAGCGCCCGAGAACATGTAGTTTTAAAGAGCCGGGGTCGAGTTGGGGCAGATAATTTATTGATGGCTTGATAGACAAAACTCTAAGCTATTCAACGGATCTTGAACTGATGCCTTACAATTCATTCCAATTTTTGTAGCTCCATTGTTCTAAAAGCTCGATTCAAAAATTGCGATTTTAACAGACCGATCTTGTCGGTTACAACAACCCATTGTACAAACAAAATCCACGAAAAACAAATACATGTCTGAGTTTTACATACCTTGAAGATCACCCTTCATCAAACCGCATAACAATCGGACACACCAAATTTAACGGTGTGCCTGAAGGAAGTTTAAGTCATAAAAATGCCGCCAAAAACTGATTGCAGTTTCTTGTTCGGGACCCTTTGGTGACTTAAAAATGATATTTACCAAAGTTCTAGCTGCTCCTCTCTTCGAAATTGTTCGAAAATTCATGTTTTTTTTTTAAATTTTTGTTTATCTTTAAGTCTACCTTTGACAGAGTACACATTTGCACACCGATTTTTATAAAATTGGAGTTTATTATTTAGGAGACTTAGAGAATACTTTTTAATACTGTTCACATCATTTGATATATACAAGGTTAGCCAAAAATCACTTATTTTTAATAATGCAAAAGCGTAAATTCATGGTTTTAGCATAACACGCGAAAAATATTTATCCCCAATTTTTTTTTAGATATTTCTACGTCTATCAGGTTAAAAAATGGCATTATTATTAACCTTTTACAAGAAAAATAGTTTTGTAATAAAATTTAATAAAATAACGCTTAGAGAGTATTTAAAATGTTGTTTAATTTAGGCTTTTTATTAGTTTTCAATTTTGAACGGCACTCTTTGGTGATTTAAAAAAGATATTTACCAAAATTCTAACTGTTTTTTTTAAATTTGTAAAAAATTCAATTTTTTTTAAATTATTTATTTATCGCAAAGTCTACCTTTGCCAGAGTACACATTTGTACACCGATATTGTAAACGAGAGAAACTGTGTTTATACTGAATACATCATTAGATTTATACAGGGTTAGACAAAAAACATAATGCATAAAAAAGATTTTTCAAAAAATTTCGAAAAGAGGAGCAGCTAGGATTTTGGTAAATATCATTTTTAAGTCACCAAAGGTCCCGAACAAGACACTGCGGAATTTTTATGTGACTTCGTTCATGCACACCGTGTGCTGACGAGCTAACAGCGAAGCGCGCCGCGTACTGATCAAGCGCACAGTGGGACAAAAAATGTAATATCTCCGGAATGACATATGAAGGACAAATTTTTGAGTACATTTTATTAAACGGGAACGTTTGCCGCATATTATGACACAAGATTAATTTTTCTTCAGCGTGAAGAACATCTTACTGCATTTTAACGTTAAAGCAGTAACCCGTTTAATCAAAAATTTAAACAAAATTTCAATTGTTTATAATAAATGTATGCAAAATTCTTTTATTTAAACAAATTAACCTTAATTAAATGATCATTTAATTAAGGTTAATTTGTTTAAATAAAAGAATATAATTATCGATAATTATATAGTCTAAACATTTCTACAATAGTGTGTAAAATGTAATTCAATTATACAGAGTGGTCCCAGAGATTCTATTTTTTAAATTTTACCGTGCTCTAAAGTTTGACAAAATTGTCAACCTTAATAACATTACCAAAAAAACGAATTTAAAATAGTATATTAAAGTACAAGTTGCAGAAGGCCACATATTCTCGCACGAATTCGAAATTTGGCCTCGAGCGACGAAGGAGCGAGTGGACGAACGAATGAGTGCGAGAATAGCCTTCTGCAACGTGGGATTTATACTATTTTCTCGATTTTAACTTTTATTTAGGTTTTTTTAATTGTTTTGTGGTCGTTGCTAGTTAGGGGATTTTTCTCGCAAAATGTCAGTTGGCAACACAAAATGACAATATTTGTTATCCTGCACAAGTACAACCTGAACTGCACTTTTACACATTAAACTTAAAATTTTGCATTAAAATGCATTGTTGGAGCAAACTTTATATTACAAAACAATAATAAAGGCTTCATTTTCAATAAAAGTAATGAATTTGAGGTTATTAATCAGTTTGACATTTTGGGGGTACCAATACTTAAAAACTAAATGTTACCAAAAATCGTTTAAGAATGAGCTTCATTCTTCAACGATTTTGCGTGCGAGAATATGACATTCTTACATAAAAATCGAGAAACATTTTTTTTTACTGTGACATATGAGTCATGCGGCATGAGATGTAAAATGCTCGAGCATTTATTTTTGGAGAACGCAAATTGAGCATAAACGAGAATAAACGAGCATAAACGAGCAAAAACGAGAAATTCCCTAGAATTTATTAACAGCATAGTCGAATTAGGACATTGCACGTTTTTTCTCAATATTCTCAAAAAGATTCTTAATTTTCTTAATATTCTCGAGAAGATTCTTAATTTTCTCAATATTCTCGAGAAGATTCTCAATTTTCTCAATATTCTCTAAAAGATTCTCAATTTTCTCAATATTCTCGAGAAAATTCTCAATTTTATCAATATTCTCGAGAAGATTACCTTTTTTCTGGGCATTAAAATCTTTTCTTTATAAAAAAACTTTAAATTTAAATGGTTTAATCGAACAAATACATAAAAAACATATAAATAACAAAAATATCACTTTGAAAAAATAATACCTACACTGAGAAAAAAATGGGACAAATAAACTGTTTATTAATAATGAATATATTGTTTCTTATGTACCTCTAAATAGTCGAAATAATAACGATAAATTAACTTTAGTAAATTTACTAAAAATTATTATTTCGACTATTTAGAGGTAATAAACAATAAATTCACTATTAATAAAAAGTATTAGCTACACGGTTTATTTGTCCCAATTTTTCTCAGTGTATAACTAAAAATGTACCCAAACTGCGGTATATAATATTATTAAACCGGTAAACAAAACAAAATATTTTTATTCAAGAGCTTAGAATCTAATCCAATACATCTTCATTTTCTAATAGATCCTCAAAGTCTTCAGAACCATCAGACGTGTCATGAAGACACATAAAATAACTAATAATAAAATATCACTCACAGCAAAAAGCTTTTAAAGAGAAGTTTACGGTACCCCTACACGCAGCACTTGAATACTTGGTAAACAATGGTCGTCTTTGTTTAGTTACCCTGCATTTCAGGTTATTAGAAGGAGAAAGACAAAGACACGTGTGATACAGCGCGCCCAAAATATAAACACCAGCAATGTCACATGTTATTCTCGCAATGTTGCCACTTTTATCGCGTTTAACTTTTAGCAATTGTCGATCGCCGATCGAGCATTTTGCGAGAATTTTCGAGCATGTTCAAGGGAAGCTTCTCGATTGTGCTCCAAAATGCTAGGCCATGAAAGTGCGCGCAAATTCATTTGAAGCTTCGCGAATCTTCGCGAAGCTTCTCCGAGCACAATCGAGTACGTTCCCTCCTTCACATCACTCATGCCTACTACACAATAATGAGATTATTTTCAAAATCGGTGATTTCGTGAAAATTTCTGGTCCCACTTGACGTGGCTTGACTCAGGTATTAACTACCCATTTAACACAAAATTTACCTGAAAAAAATGTCAATTTTTGAGGTTTTGCCGATATTTTCGTGCGTCATCCAATACACTTCTATATTTTCCGTTTGCTGTATATGTCTCTGAAACAAGTGATTTTGTTTTTAATAAGGATCCCGAAGGCCGATCTACTTCCAATACGACATGGCAACGGTGGACAACACCTCGAAAACGGTGGACGCGCTTCTGAAAGACTGGAACCAGATCGTTCACCTTTACGCGATCGTGCACGACCTCGGCAACTACCTCAAAGTGGACAAGTACAGCTTCCTGGCCAACAACTTCAGCATAAAGTCCTACAACTACAGCAAGCTGATCCTGTCGTACGGGCCGGACAAGGGCGCGATGGTCTCGCTGGGCTGGAACAACGCGGACGGCGCGTTCCAGATGGCCTTCGGCGCGGCCAACAACTCGCTGAACGCGCACAGCATCGTCCAGGAGCAGCTGGAGGCGCACCTGAACGAGACCAGGAACTTGGCGCAGCTCGTGCAGCTGCTGCAAGAGACGTACGAGCCGCTCCTGTCGATCAGCAAGTTGCCCACGATCCCGCAGCTGGGCGTGCACAACACGGTTAGTAATTTTTATTTGGGAACATTTATTTTAATCGTTGAAAACTTCCTGGTCATTTTTAAGTGTTAAATCTAAAGATGTGAAACTGCTATACGCTAAAGAAGTATCGGGTTTTCGCAACGCGCGCGCCATCTGGAGGACTTCGAATGCATTGCGTGAATTTAAGAATTGACAACAATACATTTAAAGCACCAATTATACATAAAAAAAGTCTTTATTGGGTTAACCAAAGGGCTATCGACCTAGGTCCTTCTGCCCTATTATACATCATTTTTAAATAAAAAGGTAATTTTTTTACAAAAGACGGGAAGGCAGATGTCTTACTCGACAAATTTTGTTCAATTGCACAGCTAAATCGCGTAAATAAAATTCAAGAACTAAATCGTTGCATTTTCATGTTTTGTCAAAGGATCCAATTCGGTAAGTGCATTAGTTGGTGCAGAATTAACTAATGATAACTTTACCTAATATAATTTATATTTAAGTTTGGTCATTTTTAAGAAATTAGTAAAAAATTATGCACAAACATAACCTTAAAATCAAAAAAATTTATATTTGAGTTCTCTAAAAAACGCCGACAATTGCATTGTAAACAACAAAATATACCTACCTACGAATTCATGGCAACATAATATTATATATAATACATAAAATAATGGTATTTTACCGTTGAGTGGAGACTTTCTTAATCAACTCTTTTAATAATGCTACGATTTTTACTGAATTGAAATATTTACACTTTTCACGTTAAACACTACTAAAATGTGTATTTATTGTATCTAATAGATACAATTTATATTTACAGGGACTGTATGAAATTTATTAACCCAGGATTAACCCAGGATTTCCTCTCGAAATACACCCAACAACACAACAAATCGATCCACGGTTTTTTTTTCGATATTTTTTTAACATTTTCCGGCTTTATTCTCACAAACACTCGTTTGTAACCTAAGCGTTTGACAGCTGATTATTAAAAGTTTGTTACGATAATGGCGAGTGGTGGCGCTATTAGCGATACTTCTTTAGCGTATAGTCCTAAACCTATCTTAAAGAGTATATAAACTTGGTTAAAAATTAAATTACGTGTTTACAGGCAACTGTTGCCAAAATAGCTTTTAATTGGTGGAAAACCAACGTATTTGATTGGTTACTTCAATGGCGCTATATTTAAAATCTAACTTGTGGCTAAATTTTTAATGTAATTAGTAACGAAAACAATAACTTTCTACCATGTTTTCTACCATGTAGAAATTCGCAGATTTATGGAAAAGCAATAAGGAAAACAAATGTATGAAAATGTAAAACAAGTGTATTTAGTATTCATTTGTAAAATCTGTGATTTTTTTAATTTGTAAAACTCGTTGAATCATTATCATACTTATTCCCAAAAGTACCATTCATATATGGTAAGAAATAGGGATAGAACGATACCGATATTGATATCGGTATATCGGCATATCGGCAATTGTTTCCGATTATCGGTATCGTATCGTATCGGCAAGATAATTGCCGATATATCGGCAAAAAAAAATTGCGCTTTTCACTCTTCAGTGCATAAATGAAATACTTTATTAAACAAAATAAAAATTTTCTTACTTTTAATAATAAAAAATAAGAAAAACAACCCTTTTAGGAAACAATAATAGCATATGGCAACAGCGCCGCATGCAGTTTGATCTACTGTGTTTGTTCAGTAGTTCCGACGCTGTCGTAGGGAAATGTGTATAGTTTTTAAGAAATACATTTTCGCCATTAACTGGAATTTAATGGATTTTAAACAATACTTAGATTTTATTTGCAGAAATGCATTAAAACAAAACAAACGAATTCGATAAAAATAAAACCTATAAATTCTCAATCCCTACCACAGTGGGCGGAGTTTGGCACTTGTTTTATTTAAGTGTATCTATTCGTTTTAATACACATTGTATAAGGGGCTTCCGAGAAATCCGAAATGTCACTCACTACCAATCACAAACGTTTCCTCGCAACGGAATTAAAACGGGACTTCCCCGATTTTTGCTTCGGTCGTGTATAAATAGATGGCATTATGTTTGCCGATACGATATATCGGTATATCGGCACGTAAATATCGGTATCGGCCGATATATCGTATCGGCAAAAAAAAGTGACCACTAAATCCGGCCGATCCGGCCGGATCGCTTTCCAGATATATTTTGTAATTGGTCAACAGAGAAGGGTGTGCGTGTTTCCTTGCTGTGGTTCCCCGACTTCTTTTTAATTTTTTTATTATTGGCAGGTGGCTGCTATTCTCCAATTGAATGAGTAGAATTGTTTTAATTTTGTTAACGCTAACTAAAAATTAATATTTTAATAAACAGTAATTTCTATCTAGGTAAAATTAATAGTAATAAACACTCTGCATACTGTAGCTAGTTTTAAAAAAAGTAAAAATAAATCAGCCTCAATATTTTCAATGTTTTACGTATAAAAATAGGCATGCACATACATTTTAAACTTAGGTCCCGATCCGGCCGGAATTCCGGCGATCCGGTCCGGCCAGCGGCCGAAATTCCGGTTCCGGCCGGATCGGCAAAATACCCGATCCGGTGCATCCCTAATACAAACCTTAGAAACAATACACAATAAAAACACACAAATACACAAAATCTTACTTATTATCTTATTAGATAACTACGGATAGGTATAATTGAACATCAAAAAGGTTAAACACGTCAAAACGTCAAAAAATTATAAAATCCGCGCCCTCTCTTGGCTTGGCTAAATATTATAATACTGTCCCGACATGATATTTATCTATTGGTTTGGTTTAGGCCTATAGTCGCGGCCAAATCTACATGGTTGCACGTCATCAACGGCATATAAAAATATGTCATATCAAACCTAAGATAAAGTCCCCTTTTCAATACAATTTTCTATTTTATATGAAGATTGTTCGAATAACCAAACTTTAATTTTTTTATTTGTTATATATTTACTATTTTTTAAGCAGATAGGCAAAAAATTGTACATGTAATTTAATAAAACTTCTGCCAGCGTCCGCAAGTGCCGGTGCAGACTTTCACGATAATGGCGCAGTCGTGCACTCTGATCCGCCTCGCCTACCAGGGCATGTACTGCCTCGAAATCCGCATCCTGGGCGCCGGGCTGGTGTCCCTGCGCGACGGCGCCTACAGTCGCTTCGATCGCAGCAACGTGGTGGACGTGTTCACGCCCACTCAGGGTCTCAAGACGTTCCTGTCCAAGTACGTGGACGAGAGCGCCGTCTTTCGCAGGAGATCGCAGTCGGAGGACGACAACCCGCCTTCGCCGATGGAGGTGGACAACAATTTTTTGAGTAAGAGTTTAATGTTGTTTGCACTTTCAGATCACTTAAAATAACATTTTGGAACCCCAATCAGCATTTTAAGTAAAAGCGTAGAGCTTTGAAACAATATTACCTAATGAGTCAATCCATATGAAAACGCCGAAACTCGTTGCTCGACCATCTTAAATTTTGCTCAAATTTATAGAAATATTCATTAGGGTCCCTAAGGACAAAATCCACTCTTATTTAATTTTTCGCATGTGTCAAATCCGGCCTATTCGAATTAACATTTTTAAAAACGTCATTTTTATGCTTTAATAATTTAACCTTTAATTTTTTTTCTATTAAAGATATCTTAAATTTTAAGATATAAGCAATATTTCTAAATAATTACACGGTGCTAAAAAAACGTGTATTTTACTAATTTTCCGTGTTTGTTAAATGCGTACCATGTCTCGGCTGTTTAATATTAACAGCTAATTTTTTTCATATATAAAGTTTACATACCAAAGACAAAATAAAACTTACAATTGGCCCGTTTGGCATACGGTTTTCAAACAAAAAAATTGCTTGAAATTTTGAAATTCTAGAAAATCGCATTATTTAGGCCGTTATATGAGGATGTTGACTTCCAAATAGAATTATGAAATTTACAGGATAATTAATCCCTACCTTGATGTTCAAATGCCTGGTAGTTTGGTTATGTTATTTTAATCTTTGAAGCTTATACAGTAGCTTTAAAAGGAGAAAAATATTGAAATATTAAAAAGTCGCATTATTTCATCCATTTTATAAGTATGTTGACTTCAATATAGAAATATGAAATTACCAGGATATTTAGTCCTTACTATGATATTTGGCTTAAGCATGCCTATGCGTATTTATGTAGGTACTTTATGCATATAACTTATGCGATTTTTTTAAATTTTATTACTTTTTTGCTGCTTTAAAGCATCTGTACAATCACAAAAAAATATATAAAAAAGCTATACAAGCTTTTAAACTTTGTGATAAGGACTAAATTTCCTGTAAGTTTTATATTTCTATTTAGAAGTTAACATTTATATGATTTAAGGATAAAATGAATCGTTTTTTAATTTTCCATGTGTTAGCCTTTTTTAAAGCCCATGTATAAGAAAAATGGATGAAAATATAAAAACAAGTCAATCAGGCATTTCATTTTCAAGGTAAGCATTAAACATCCTGTTAATGTCATATTTCTATATTAAAGTCAACATACTTATATAATGGATGAAATAATGCGACTTTTTATTATTTCAATATTTTTCTCCGTTTAAAGCTATTGTATGAAAATACCAAAACCAAACTACCAGACATTTGAACATTAAAGTAGGGGCTAATTATCCTGTAAATTTCATAATTCTATTTGGAAGTCAACATCCTTATATAATGGCCTAAATAATGCGATTTTCTAGAATTTTAAAATTTCAAGCAATTTTTTTGTTTGGAAATCGTATGCCAAACGGGTCAATTGTAAGTTTTATTTTGTCTTTGGTATGTAAACTTTATATATAAAAAAAATTAGCTGTTTATATAAGTGTAGTACTAAATGAAACTATTATAAATACCTCGATAATACAAAATTTTTGGGATTATATATAGATGAAAATCTTGTCTGGTGTAAACATATTAATGAGTTGTTGATTAAACTTAACCGTGTTCATTATTGTATTAGAGTCTTAAAAAAGTACCTAGATTGTGTGTTGTTAAAACTGTTTATTTGTCAAATTACCAATCCTTAATGAAATTTGGAATTTTATTCTGGGGTCAATGTAAGTGTATTCAGTCATTATTTGTAGCACAAAAAAGTACTATTCATACTTTGTTGGGATTAAAATATGGCGAGTCACTTAGAGGTCATTTTAAGAGGCCCAAATTTTAACTGCAACAGCTTTATATGTGTATGAGATATTATTATTTGTTTTTAAAAAAATTTCTCTGTTTAATAGTTTAAAATCAGAACGTACTCTAGCATTAAGATATCCTATTCATCGCCTTATGGCTTATGAAAAAGGTTGTTATTATTCTTGTATTGTCATTTTTAATAAATTACCTAGGAATATTCAGATGATAACCAACATGTCTAGTTATAAAAAACATGTTTTTGACCACCTAATTAATATAGAACCTTATACTTTGTCTGATTATCTACAGTATAAATGCTAAATGTACCTATTTTTTCCTTTAGACGTTATTTTATTCTAATTGTATTATATTTTTGTAAACTTGTAATTACAATTATTTTTAAAATAAATATTATTAATATTTAACAGCCGAGACATGGGACGCATTTAAAAAACACGAAAAATTAGTAAAATACACGTTTTTTCAGCACAGTGTAATTATTTAGAAATATTGATTGAATTAATTTATATTTTTTTTATAAAAGCTACTATTTTTTAGCTTTAAAATGACATTTTAAAATTTAAAATATCTTTAATAGAAAAAAAATTACAGCTTAAATTATTAAAGCATAAAACTGACGTTTTTAAAAAGTTTTAAAGGGTTACATACAGTTAGAATTTTCAAAAAATCGATTTTTTTGTTTTATTTCCTTAATGTACATATATTTAAGAATACACACAGAAAATTTCATATCGTTCCGGTGAATATTTTCAAAGTTACACGCAAATTTAAAAAGGCGTTTCAGAGTGCTTGGAAGCCGGAGCGGCAGCGACTACCCTTTTATGCACCTGCCTATTGTAAATGCTCCCTTCTAATGTATTTAGATGTGTAAATCAACAGTGTGAACGCGTTTTTCTCAAAATGGTGTTTTCAAAGTCGGTGACCAACATTACTCGAAAACGGCTTAACCGATTAGTCTCAAATTTTAACACGAGCTTCTTAAATATATTTTTTAGTTATTAATCGAAGATTTTCTCTCTCCGATAAATATTTTTGTTTTTATAAACAATTTAAGGCCGAAATTTCGGTAAAAATCGATTTTTTTTTGAGAAACCGCCATTTTGTCAAAAAAATTTATTTTGCTTATTCCTTCGATTAATTACTAGATTTAACATTACTTTAACGAAATCTGTTTGGTTTTTTAAATTCAGATGATCCAGTTCAGAGATATAGTGGTCACCGCAAAACGTCTTTTTTGAGAGGAGCTCCCGGAGATCAGCTGTAGCTCTTTTCCAAATAAATATTTTTACTAGTACTAAGTCTTAAAATATAGTGAAAAGATACCATAATATGTGTATAAATTTTTGGATCAATAAATTTAAAAGTTTTCTCAGAAAAACTTCTGGAAAATATAACCCCTTAATTCGATTAGGCCGGAGTTTGATCAAAATCCAAGATGGTCGAGCAACGAGTTTCGTCGTTTTCATATGGATTGACTCATAACAAAGTTTGAAATGACAGATCACCTTCGTCCGCCGTCGCCGCGCGACCAGGGCCTGCGCTTCCACCCGCCGCAAACCCCGCCGAGCATCTCGAACCCCCTCACCCCCGCCAGCCCGCTGACGGCGGCGATATCGTCGCAGCCGAGCGCCGCGTCGCAGTCGCAATCGCAGGGGCTGGGCGGCTTCGGCTCGAGCCCGGCGACCGCGTTCGGCCTCAACTCGCCCACCGCGGGCGGCGGCAACGTGCAGCCCAGCCCGCTGCATCCGATGCACCCGAGTCCGGGCGGCTTGGCGGCCAACTCGCCGCTCAACGCGATGCCCAGTCCGGGGGCGCTGCTGAACAACGCGTCGCCCGGCCCCGCGCCCGCCAACATGCCCGGACACTCGCCGGTCAGCAGCTACTTACCCTCAGGTATTTACTTCGCTAATTTTTTATTTCAGGAACGTTTTGTCGAGTGCAAAACATTCGTGTCACTGTCTGGGTTTTTTTCATGAATTGATAGGGGCTTGTTTGAAAAGCAAAAAACCAAATTTGCACCGCCCGGCAATTTTTTTTTAAGTTTTAAGTTTTTAACATTTCTATCATAATGAATGTAAATTTGTTATTTTTAGCAATTGTATGTTTTTTTAACCTATTTAATAAACCCAAAAAGAATACATGATTCCATAGCAGGTACAATAGTAGAAAAATAAAAATATTATATAAAAACACGAAAATATAAAATATAAATATGTGGAAGTTACCTACAAGCAGTTATCACATTTTCTTATAGATAAATAATAGTTTTTGACCGATGTTGAAAATGTTTTTATTGTTCTTTGGTTTTTTGTTCTCTCATGAAGTTCATTGTATCATTTCAGAGCAGATTGTGTTATTCTCCTTTCTCCAAACTTAGTAATATTAGAGGCAATGTGATAATGCTGGTTGGTCCTCGTGTTATGTTTATCAGGGTTGCCACTCATCTGGAAAACCTGGAAAAGTCAGGGAATTTAAATTTTTTAGAAATGTCAGGGAATTGTCAAAAAAAATCTACAAAGTCAGGGAATTCCTTAGTCGGTCAGGGAATTGGTTATTTATAAATAAAACTGGCCAACAAAATTTTCATTAAAAAAAAATAAATTATGTTAAGGAGTGTAATTTAAATTTAATTTATCAAAATATGACAGCGCTATAGGTCAAACTTATCACTATAACCTTAGAAGTCTATATCACGACTTATCACTATACAGCCATTCCACGTTACTCGGGAATTTTTGTAGCGTCCGTTACAATAAAAAATTGTGAGTAAAACCACCGTAATTATGATTTTTATAAGCTTAAGCCTAATTATTACAAGCATAATAAACATGTTTGCAATAGTAACTATTGTAATAGTATTTAATTTAATTACGGTAGCTTTTACTCACAATTTTTGATTGTAACGGACGCTACAAAAGTTCCCAAGTAGCGTGGAATGGCTGTATAAAAAAGTGCAGGCCATTAAAAAAGGATTTCGGCAACGGAGAATACAAATTTGTCTTAAAAAAAAAACAGAAGGAAAATAATACTTTCTAAAAATAAATTAGTTAAAAATGACTAATTGTCATAGCGAAAAAGCAGCCACTAATAATTCTAATCAATTCCTATGTAAAATTGTCTGCTGAATCCGAATATGTCGTCAATATAGGACAATTTTTAAGATTTATTAAATTTTCCATATAATATGAAATTGACTATATCTCAAAAACTGCTATGACGGTCTTTTCGGATTCAGGGGACAATTTTACATGAAAATTGGCTATTAAATGTCCTGGATACAAATTGCTGTTGACTACAGTTATAAGTGACTGCAGTGAATTAGTCAAAAATGACATATTTCAAAGTGAAAAAGCATGCTTTTTCACTATGAAATATGTCATTTTTGACTAATTCTTTTTTAGAGAGTATGCTTGAAAAAGTTACAGTTTTACATGATAATATTATTAATTAATATTATTGTTTTAGAAAATAACCAGAATAAATTAATTTCTTCAATAAAAACTCCTGCAAAAAATGATAGAAGAAATAAAATCTTTTTTTTGTACTATCAAATATTTACTGATAAGAACATCAAGTTGATGAGAGACCTGCCGCAGACAAAATTTCAGAGGCATTTTTAAAAATTTCATTATTTCTGTTATTTTTAGATTGAACAGAAAATTAATGTAATAAAAACCCAAAAAACAAAAACCAAAATTAAAAATTATCCCGAAAAAATTAGCTACAGAAAATTTTTTGTTTGTTTTTTTTAATAAGAAGTATTGATTTTTTATTAATATTTTTGAATTTTATAAACTTCAATAAAAGTTTAGTTTTTTAATTAATCGTTATAATTCTCCACCAAGAGAAAAATAAATTCAAGTATTACATAAGCACCAAAGGAGTCATTGCTTGATTTTTGTTGTATATTTTTAATGATAAGCTTTACTTACTTTTGCTGACAAAGTGAAGGAGGGGTTAAAAATTACAAAATTACTGCTTACGTAATACTTGAATGGCCCCATACTTAAAATTTTAAAAACCAACACTCAAAGTCCAGTTGAAAAAATCATTGAGAGTCAGGAAACCAAAAAGAAAACACATTTTGTCTGGAAAAAAATCAGGAAAGGTCAGGGAATTCCTGGAAAAGTCAGGGAATTTGGTTTAGACAAATCAGTGGCAACCCTGTTTATGTTTATCACAGTTTTTAGTTAGGTTTACAGTTGGTTCTATTAGGATATTTCTAAGTTTATACACCACAACAATGTTTAAAACATTTAGTTTATTGTATAAATATGTAGAGCTCGTTAGGAAAGGTTTGTTAAATAAGAGCTTGAGAAGTCTATTTTGTGTCCTTTTTTTGCGTGCCCCAAAAAGCTGGAAGATACATTAAGTGAGAGTTAATGTATGCATTATATATTAAATTTTTAGTTTCCTTGTTTATTAATAAACAATTAAAAAATTTGTGATTTTCAAATTTTTTAAATCAAAAAAATCTTGTTCAATACAATTTTACACAATAATTAATTAAATTATTTTACCAGTTGCATTTCAGTACTTATTTTCTTTAATTACGTACCTATTTTATCACCTAAAACAAGAAAAAACTTTACCTATTTAGGTACCTTTTTTATAAATGTGGCAACCTAAAATGCCATCTCTAATGATAACACAAATGTAAATTTTTAATGAATGTAGATTATTGCCCACTGTGCAAGCATTATTTGTCAGTTGTCGTAGGTCAGGAACAACCAGTGGCAGCCCAAAATTTCTACTTTACTTATAAAAATGTTAATGCTTTTTTTATTAAGAAAAAAATCTTATTTTGGATGACAACTTATTCGCTAAAAACTAAAAAAATGTATTTTTGCCTATATCTTTGTAAGAAAAACTGATCAGGTGGTGCAAATTTGGTTTTAAGCTTTTCAAATATCGATTCATGAAGAAAAAACAGACACGGTTTGACCGGACTATTTCTCTCCTTCAGGACATACAGACGGTAGTCCGTTCCCGTCTTCGAGCATGGCATCGCCGGCCGCTTCCAATTGGCCGGGATCGCCCGGCTTACCTCGGCCGTCTCCGGCAAGGCCGGGGCAATCTCCCGGAGGAGGGCCGCCGGTGATGAACAGTCCCCAGTCGGAACACAACAAAAGTTCGAACGTCGTCCAGGGGCATTTGGCCAGAGTTTTGCCTCAAAGGTAAGTTTGTTGTTGGGTTTCGTAGATTTTTTGTTTTGTTTTACAACAGAACACCACGTGCTGTTCTGAGAAGTGATTTTCAGACTTTCTGAGAAACTTTTTTTTGTAAAATACTAGGTATATTAGGGTGCTTCAAAAAATAAAATTTAATTTTTTTTCGCTCTTACCCTCTCAAATGTTTCTATTTAATATAAAAAAAATCCTCGCCAAATATGGGCGTTCCAGCTCAACTCCAAGAGGTCGCTGTTTTTATTTTAGTTTCCCATTTAACTAACATGGGAAAAAATAATTTTTTGTTTGGAATTTTATACCTCTGTATCAAAGTAACTTATTGCTCATTGCAGTTTCTTATATAAAATGTAGCGCTCTACAAAAAAGCTTTCTTATTATTTTTCGATAAATTGATTTCTTCTTATTCGAGGTCAAAGTTTGATTAACATCAAATTTTCTGTTTTTTTTAATTTTATAGTACAATTAGCAGACGGGGGAGGTGAAAGGGGGCAAAACAAGGCAGCAAATAAATAGCACAGAAAACTGACTTTTTTACCTTATTTATTCTTGCAACCTAGGAAGAATTTTTTTTTTTCATAAAATTTATGACTGAATCTTATTACAAAGCATTAAATTTGGTCGAAAAAATCTTTTTAAGCCGAATTTCTATTTTCATTATTTGATTTTTTACAGAGCTTTAAATTTAAAATTTTAGGTTTTTTGCATTTTTCAGCTAAACTGTTGAAGTTAGACGAAAAAGCCAAATGGCAATTTTTTAGCTTGTCTGATGGACCACAAAAAAGTTTTTGGTGAACTTTTTGTATCGTCAATATTCTAAAAGTTACAGGCGTATAAAGTCATCATTTTTGTATTATTAACTTTTTGTTAGTGAAATATTAATGTTCAATTCTACCTTATACTCTTAAATGGATGAATATGTTGAGATGTCCCCCAAGTGAAAATGATTATTTTTTATTTTTGGTTGTTTCGCTGTTAGTAGAATGGGGTTTTTGGGAAGGCACAAGGTCTAGTAATAATTTAAGTGATTCTGCACTAATGCAAGAATTTTAAGAAATCATACATTTTGAATATTAAAGCTTCACGGAGGTTATGATTTCGTATGTTTTTTTTAACATTCCTTTGTATATTTGAAATAAGTTATTGTACCTTTTGATACCTTAATATTTTTAAAAAATACAATTGTACATATATAAAATATTTATAAAAAAAAATCCACTTACTGAGAAATTACACTTCACGGTGGATAGGTTTTTAAATAGCAAATTAATGAACTTGAACTTTTGAATTATAAAACAGCAACACTCTCATCTGCATATAAATTCTAACTGACCTTCAGGAATCATTTGTATCTATAATGTCGTAAACAGAGGTTTTTGCTTATTTAAAATGATTAAAGCGCCATCCGTTGCATAAAATTTAAAGCAAAAACAGATTCACGGAGGATAGAGTCAATTTTTGTAACACCTACATAAATGGTTATAAAAATTATTTCTTTTAATTTTTAATAATATTTTATATTTGATTCGATTGCTTTGGATGTGTTTAATTTACTTAGTGAACTGATAGTTTTAGTATGCTTTTACTACCTTACATATTTGAAAACATATAGGTTAACCTAAAAAGAGTAGCAGTCACGGAGGATAGGTTCTGTTGCTCTTCGTCCAATGTTTTGTTCTTTTTATTTTGATTTTCAACGGTCCCTGTTCAAATTCAGCGAAAGTTGGGATATGGTTCTATTTTCCAATGTAAAAATGTCACATTTGTTGTTCTCTAAGGTCTTGGGCCGGGGCAGTACCGACAGTTTTGACGCACGAAGCCTTGGAAAGCTTGTGCTGCCCGTCGCAGCATCCGCAAGGTTTTCCCGGACCGGAGCTGGCACCGCTGGAACGCTTTTTAGGCTGCGTTTACATGCGCCGGCAGCTTCAAAGGCACATCAACAACGAATCCTTCGTAAGTTTTCGCGAAACGGCGTTTTTTAGGATCGACAATGTATTTTTTTTCGTTTTAGCTGACCGTCATACCGAACTCGGAACCTGGCGTGATTCATTTCAAAGTTGCCGAAACGTTCCAATGCAGGATCGGTTTGAACCCGCAGCATTTGCAAAGTTTGCATCTGAAGATTACGCCCATGGCGGACCACAAAGATGTCTGGAGCCCAGAAGAATTACAGGTGAGTTATTTTTTAAGTTGATTTATTTATATTTACCTTAGAACGGCTTATGTTATGTTTATTGTAATATAAATTGGAAATTTATTTTAATTTGTCTAGATAACAAAAATTATTATGATTTTTTTTAACACTAGTTTACAACTTTCTCTTGTATAGTTTTGGTATTATTATACAAGGTAACCAAGTTACAAGGTGTCAAAGTTGAAAGTTCGTTTCCGATTTTATTAAATAACTTTGGAAAATTTTTCTTTTAAGGGGTTTTTCAGGCTTAGTGTATTGACGTTTTTAATAAAAATATTTCTATTTTATCTTTATTTCGTGAAAAAGTTATACTTTCTAAATGTCGCTGCGAGTAACCTTTTTCGAGATATTTGCATTTAAATTGTTTAGTGCACCCATTTAATTGTGATTTGAAAAAGTAACATTTTTTTAAAATTAGTTAACGGTTAAAAAAATTAAATGACGCTAAAAAATAAAGTACAACTTCGTCATAGTTTTTAAAAAATTTATGTTTTTTCTACCCTATTAAAAACATTTTTCAGATTTTTTAATTTTATTTTTCCCAGCCCAAAAATGGATCTTTTAATTGTACAGACCGATCTTCAATGTTTTTTTTTTTAATTTTCTTAATTTTTTTTTCATTAGAAACTGACATTTTATGCAAATTCTCTCAATTGAAAAAAAATCTTTGTCAGCTTATTTCTCATAATACCACTCTGAGGATTTTCTTGGATGTAGAGAGAACCTCAAAGTTTGAAAGAAAATTAATAATAAATGAAATTAAAAGTGGTTAGTTATCATTGAACAAATTTTAATGTTTCGAAAAAGTAAGAAAAAAATGGAAGATAGTTCTGAATAATTTATTTGTTTTTTTTTAAATTACATTTAAAAGCAAATACAGTGTGTATTAAAACGAATAGATACACTTAAATAAAACAAGTGCCAAACCCCGCCCACTGTGGTAGGGATTGAAAAGTTATTTTCGTTATTTTAGAATTATTTTTGTTTGAGAATTTATAGGTTTTATTTTTATCGAATTCGTTTGTTTTGTTTTAATGCATTTCTGCAAATAAAAACTAAGTATTGTTTAAAATCCATTAAATTCCAGTTAATGCCAAAAATGTATTTCTTAAAAACTATACACATTTCCCTACGACAGCGTCGCAGGTACTGAACAAACATTGTAGATCAAACTGCATGACCTTGTATCTGGCTGCATGCCGCGCTGTTGCCATATGCTATTATTGTTTCCCAAAAGGGTTGTTTTTCTTATTTTTTTAATATTAAAAGTAAGAAAATTAACTTAATCAAATTATTTTTGACATATTATTAATTTTTTTGTTATTTTTAAAGTTTCAAAGAAATAAAATTGAACTATTTATTAAATAATTATAATCGTTCTCTTCTGATTTAAAACAAACTGGCAACTATGGTTCGTAATTACGAATGGCTTGGTTTAAACCACGCCCAATTAAAGTTTGTTTATTTTTCTCTGATCAGAATATAATTTGTCATCCTTGTCTCCAGCCTTACTTACCTGATTCTATACAGTCTGTATAAAAACTATTTTTAAATCAAATTCAATAAAATGACAAGAGTACATTTTGATTTTGCAAGTTGGTGCCTATCTCCTTAATAAAATCGAAAACTAACTTTCAACTTTTTAATTATCAACTTTTGTAGTATTATTATTATTATTTTGTTCTCGGGAAAATGTAATAACAACTCTAGGAATACGGAAAACAAGTTCTTATAGCTTCGTTTTTGACATTAAAACATTTTAAACAGTAAATAATTTTACATGGAAAATTCTCATCAGATTTTAGAAAAGTTCTTCGACACCAGGGCGGCCACCCCCCCTTACAAACCGATGTCCATGTTCACGTTCTGCAACATGCTGAACGTGCCGGTCAACGTGCTAAAGGATTTCGTTCAGATTATGCGCCTGGAGCTGATGAGCGGTCTGGCGCAGCAGCAGGGCATGAAATGGTCCGTGCAATGGATGCTCAGAATACCGCCCAGCGCCACGCCCATAGTTCCCACGGGAATGACCGGAGTGCTGGCCATCAGGAACAAGATCCTCTTCTTCGTAAGTATTTGTCACTTTTACACTTTGAATTACTTTTAAGTAATTCAATTACTTTTAAGGATTGAATTCACGGTGTCCCTGAATAACTTTTAATTGAAAGGTTCAGACGTATCCGATTTTTTTTCATATTTTGATCATTTACAAGACAATTTTTTTCAGGATAAACTCAATTCGCTTGGCTCTTTTTTAGAAAAATCAATTTTTATAAAAATATTAATGATTTTTAATCAATTTTTTAAGATTTTTAATTAGTGAACTCCAAATAATGACTAACAGCTTTTAATGTATTTGTTACATAAAATGTGCAATTCATAAGACTACTGAACTATTGACATGTCACATGTCGAAATCGTGATTGAAAATACCGTTGCGTTATTTTACCGGTTTTTTTTTCAATTTGGCGCAGATTTATTTAAAAATGAGATATAAATAATTATATTTGCATTGATTATAGTATATAGTGCAATGAAGCTAATAAAAAACCAAGGACTCACTCGGATAATCGCGAGAGAATTTGTTTGTTTTGTCTTAAGAAAAAATTTCTAAAATATGTGGAAAGATTCTGGAAAAAGTTCAAAGCATAGTAGTATAAGATGAACGATTACCAAAAGTTGTATGCAAAGGTTGTGAAATTTTATTATATAAAGTAGCTAAACAAGAAATTTATAGAAACACGTTAAATTTGCCTGATTTTTTTAATTCAGGGCTCCCACGGCTAAATTACAAATTTTATTTAGGAATTTAGGAGGTTTTTTGTAAAATTTTAGGAGAAATAAAGTATGAAAATGAATTTCTTTAATTAAATAAAAACATCTCTTTACTACTTAAAAAATAAAAAAAAATTAATACTTCTTTTGTAACAATAAGTTATATTGACTAGTTTTTTAGCCAAATCGCTTTAAATAAAATTAAAAGTGGGGTAAAATAACTACTTTTGTATATATCTGAGGTACATATATATACAAGTATACATTTCACCACACTTTAAATTTTATTTAAAAAAATGCGTCGATAGATTTGGTTAATGCCAAAATCAAATGATGTTATCTTTATATTTTAAGACAAAACATGTTAACCGTTTAGTTAATAACTAACAGTAATTAAATCGATAAAGTTAAGAATAGTCCAAAAGTAAAATTTTTGATAAAATATTTCAAAAACTCAGTTTTATAGTTCTAAATGCATTTTTGTTAGAATATTTTAACTATTTTATGAAATATAATATTTATTTTCTGTAAAATAATTTATATCTTCTAACAAAAATTTATTTTAAACTTTAAAATTGATTTTAGAAAATAAATTGTCAAAATTAAATTTTTGGACTTGTACTGTTTTTATTCTCACCGATTCAATTGTAATGTGGATCTTAATACTTAAAAATCTCATAACAAAATATGAAGTTTGCAAAATACAGCAAAACATTCTTTAGATTGTTTACTATTTTAGATGTCATTTAAAAGAAAATTAAAAATCCTTTTGTTTGGTATATAACACGGTATATTTTTGACTAAAAAACGAAATATCGCTAAAAATAGAACTTAATTAAACGCAGTCAGGTTGGCCTTTTTAAATTAAATTTTTAGGATTTTAGGAGTTTTAGGAGATTGAAGGCAATTTTAGGAGTTTTGAAGATTTAAGCTAAATTTTAGGAATTTTATGAGTTTTAGGAGGTGTGGGAGCCCTGTTAATTGGAAATAATTGGGTATAATTTTATAAAAAGTGCTAAAAATAAACCCATTAAAAAAGAAAAAAAGCGTGTGGTTAATATTTTCAAAAATATGTGAAAAAAGTAAAAAAATGACTTTCAGACCTGATACCATCAAGGTGAATCGAGTTAGAGAAAATTCTTATGGGCTCTTTTAAAAAGAGTTAAATACTATGTAAGTAACACAGAACCACAATATGATAGCTTAAAACCCGGCAAAGATATAGAAATTTAAAATGGGAAAAATTCATCGTTTTTTCTTTATATTATTACAAAATTGTTTTGGACAAGCAAAATTATTGGGTAATTGAATTAAAAATAGTATCTCCATCAAAATATCCAAAAAAAAAACCTGATAAATGCGGGTCGTTTATTTCAGCTGCAAGTGAACCGGATAGCCATGCAGTACCCCACCAACGTGGAACCGCCCTCCATCGTCTTACCTTTCATTTACGACGTGGGCGCGAACGTGACCTCGCTGGCCGAGAAGCGCGAGATGGGCTCGGTGCCGGCCCTGCAGGCCGCCAGCCAGATCCTGAAGAACTTCGGGCACTTCCAGGCCAACATGGCCGACTGCTCGGTCTTCCCGGCCATCAGGGAGCTGCTGCTGAACCTGACGCTGCCGCAGGAGCAGCAGCAGCAGCAGCAATCTCCCGCGCAGCCGCAGCAGATCATGTCGCCCGCCATGCAGATGGCGCAGCAGGGCGGCGGCGCGCCCCCGCCCCAGGGCTACATGCCCATGGGGATGATGGGCGGCGGGCCGCAATGACACGCGATGCAATAGCACGTGCTGTTTCCGCAGGACGGTGAGTACTGGTGATGCACATTTCATATTAATTATAATGCATTGTAAACAATCAGTTTCGTGACACTGTGCGACAAAATTCGATGAAAAAACATAGCTGAGTGGAACCAGAAAAAATAAATACAGTATTACAAAAAGGATTTTTTCATATTGGATATGGTTTTTTATATTTTTAATTTTAATTAAAGATATGAAAAATTCTAATTTTGATAAAATATTTTGTAAATGTATTTTTTTACTCTAAAACTTATATATAAATTTTGGCTTATAAAATCTATTTCCACGGTATTTTTTTCAAAATTACAATTTTTTATGTCCTAAAAAAATTAAATAAAATAAAAAAACTAGAGCGTACATAAAAAATGGTCCCAACTCCTATTTAGTTAAAAAAAAACACTCGTTTATCCTATAACTTATAATTGTCAATGTTGACGTTTCTAATTTTAAAATTAAAATGTGCGTTTTTTTTAAATATACAGAAATTAAATCGGCACTTAATTCTAGTTTAAAGAAAAATATATTCGTGAAATAGTCTTGCCACTAGTGGATAATACGATAATAAATAAGCAGTTGTGGAAAATTAGGAGAGGCGCGATTTTTTAGCATTTTTTTCTTGGTAATTGGATTTTTTTTTCAATTTTCCAAAATTTCAAGATTCTCTTATTATTCGTACTACGGAAAAAATGCTAAAGTCAATTGTTCTGCAAAATTCCCAATTTTTCCGATTTTAAAGTGCCATTAGTTTAAAATATCGAAAAAACTTAAAAAAAACATTTTTTTGTTTTAAAGTAAAAAACATTTATTCAATAATTATATAAAAATGCTATTTTTATTAAAAAGTGTATATTTTTAAATTTTCCAAAAAAATCAATTAAAAAAAACAGGTTTTTTCCCCATTTTTCCGGATTTTTTTTTCGACGCTTTTAAACGCTAGTTGGGACCGTAAAAAAGTTTACAAAAAATGAATAATTGTTTCCGCAGGACGGTGAGTACTGGTGATGCACTTTTATTTATTTCAATTTCATACAAATTATAATGCATTGTAAACAATCAGTTTTATGACACTGTCGATGAAAAAACATAGCTGAGTGGAACCAGAAAAAATAGATGCAGTATTACAAAAAAATAATATTTTTTCATATTGGATATGGTTTTTTATATTTTTAATTTTAATTAAAGATTTGAAAGATTCTAATTTTGAAAAAAATACCGTGGAAATATATTTTTTGTACGCTAAAACTCATATATAAATTTTGGCGTATAAAATCTATTTCCACGGTAATTTTTTCAAAATTACAATTTTTTATGTCCCAAAAAAAATTAAATAAAATAAAAAACTAGAGCTTACATAAAATATGGCCCCAACCCAGCTATTTTTTTGTTGCTCAGTGTAATTGTATATAATTTTTATTATCGCAAATATAATACATAGGTACTTTTTTTCATAAATATGAAACGACGACTTTTAGGTTCATGATTAATATTTAAATCCCAATCACTTTAGATCGAATTCAATGAGGTTTTCTCGATAAATTGCTTGGTAAATAATTAGTGGAGAATTTAATTGTCTAGAATTTTCATATCGCTGAAAAATTTTTTTACTGATAATAAAGTGTGGAAAATTAGGAGGGTGACGCAGTTCTTTGGCATTTTTTCCGTGTTATCGTAGTACGAATTAGATTATTTTTTCAATTTTTTCGTTTTTAAAATGCCAGTAGTGGTTTAAAGGCTTGAAAAAAAACGATTACTGGTGATGCAGTTTTATTGATTTATTTTTCATACACCTAATAATGCATTGCAAGCAATCAGTTTCATGACACTGTGTGACAAAATTCGATGAAAAAAAATAGCTGAGTGGAAACAGAAAAAATATATACAGTATTACAAAAAAAAATATCTTTCGGGATTTTTTCATATTGGATATGGTTTTTTATATTTTTAATTTTAATTAAAGATATGAAAGATTCTAATTTTGAAAAATATACCGTGGAAATGTATTTTTTTGTACACTAGAACTCATATATAAATTTTGACGTATAAAATCTATTTCCACGGTAATTTTTTCAAAATTACAATTTTTTATGTCCCAAAAAAATTAAATACAATAAAAAAACTATAGCTTACATAAAGTATGGTCGCAACCCAGCTATTTTTTTGTTGCTCAGTATAATTGTATATAAATTTTATTATCGCAAAAATAATACATAGGTACTTTTTCATAAATATAAAACGACGACTTTTAGGTTTATGATTAATATTTAAATCCCAATCACTTTAGATCGAATTCAATGAGGTTTTCTCGATAAATTGCTTGGTAAATAATTAGTGGAGAATTTAATTGTCTAGAATTTTCATATCGCTGAAAAATTTATTTACTGATAATAAAGTGTGGAAAATTAGGAGGGTGACGCAGTTCTTTGGCATTTTTTCCGTGTTATCGTAGTACGAATTAGATTATTTTTTCATTTTTTTCGTTTTTAAAATGCCAGTAGTGGTTTAAAGGCTTGGAAAAAAACGATTACTGGTGATGCAGTTTTATTGATTTATTTTTCATACACCTAATAATGCATTGCAAACAATCAGTTTCATGACACTGTGCGACAAAATTCGATTATAAAAAATAGCTGAGTGGAACCAGAAAAAATAGATACAGTATTACAAAAAAATAATATATCTTTCGGGATTTTTTCATATTGGATATGGATTTTTATATTTTTAATTTTGAGATATGAAAGATTCTAATTTTGAAAAAAATACCGTGGAAATGTATTACAATCTATAAGTGCACTAAATGTACATATTCAACTCTAAATAAAACAACTTATGAGAATCATATTAAAGTTTGTTTGAAATTGAAAAATATCGAATGGTATAAGTGTCAAATTTGCCACTTAGCTATTCGAAAAAGTAATTTAACAAGTCATATTAAAACTCATACTAAAATAAAAGTAATATGTACGCTAAAATTCATATATAAATTTTGACGTATAAAATCTATTTCCACGGTAATTTTTTCAAAATTACAATTTTTTATGTCCCAAAAAAAATTAAATAAAATAATAAACTAGAGCTTACATAAAATATGGCCCCAACCCAGCTATTTTTTTGTTGCTCAGTGTAATTGTATAAAATTTTTATTATCGCAAATAAAATACATAGGTACTTTTTTCATAAATATAAAATGACGACTTTTAGGTTTGTGATTAATATTTAAATCCCAATCACTTTAGATCGAATTCAATGAGGTTTTCTCGATAAATTGCTTGGTAAATAATTAGTGGAGAATTTAATTGTCTAGAATTTTCAGATCGCTGAAAAATTTATTTACTGATAATAAAGTGTGGAAAATTAGGAGGGTGGCGCAGTTCTTTGGCATTTTTTCCTTGTTATCGTAGTACGAATTAGATTATTTTTTTTCAATTTTTTCGTTTTTAAAATGCCAGTAGTAATATTAAAATATATTTTTAATTTTATTGAATTTCAAATTGTAATTTTATACGCCAAAACCTATTGCCAAAAAAATTGGATCAAAATTAATGCTTATGTTTACATATAAATTTATTTTTTAAATACCAAGGAATAGGGTGATCCCTATAATGTCGCCCCCCTTTAACTTTATTTTAATTTTAACTGTGGTTATGTAGGTACTAAAAAATACTTTTTTTCTACGTATAAAGAAAATTTGAAAATTGATCAGTATACAGGAAAAAACAAAAAGTTTATTTTTTTTAATGGATCACCCTATATATGTATTTATTTTTCGATTCCTTGTAAAATTCTAAGCATATTTCATATAACATACCATATACCTAAATTCAACCGTTTCTGAAATATTTAAATTATTTTTAAGATGTGATACTGATCTTTCACTGCCTGAGTACGCCATTTTTACTTATTTGACTTGTGTAATACAACCTTTTGTAAATAACAACAATAAATGATTTGATTTGATTTGATTTGATTTGACATATTGACATAATGTCACTATAGTAATTTATTTTCAATAAAAATTTTGGTATAGTGAGGCTTCTTGATTTCTCAGTTTAAAAAAACATTTAATGATAACATATCTAATGCGAATAAAATAAACAAGTTAAAGGGGGGCGACATTATAGGGGATCACCCTGTACATAGGTAATTTTGTTTTAATAGGCTTGTGGTTGGTCAAAAATTAATCGATTATTTTTTTGTGATGCTGTTTTCATTTTTCATGTTCCCTACCCAGATATATTTTTTTGTACAAAAGCTGTTGAATTGAATTCTCTACGATTTTTTTTATTTAAATGTCAATAAAATCTTCCCCCCCCTCCTAATGTTTCACCCTTTTTGCTTATTATTAGCAATAAATAATTTTTTCAGCAATATCGACTATATGAAAATTGTAGAGAATTAAATTCCCTATAAATTTGTTACCTACCTTATTTATTGAGAAATGCAAATCGTCGAAAACACATAATCGAACATTTATAAAAACTGATATTAATTTCATGAAAAAATCTCAAATGATCGGGCTATTATATAATATGTATAACTATAAACTATATATAACGTTTATATAAAGAAGAATGTTTTCTTTTAATTGTCCTAAAACAACATATTTAAGCTAAGTTTTATATGGAAGATTAAAGTTACAAAAAGCAAATGGGTAGTTTTCAAAGTCTTAATATGTAGGGTTTTTTTTGCAATTAACATAAAAATTATTTTTTTCATACAATTACCTACCTAATACAAATTATAAGAACGTGATTTGTTTTAATTTTTTTATTAAAACGCTTTGGTTTATTAAAATTTGTAGATAAAATATTAAAACCATTTGAAAGTTATCCACAACTTTGCTTAAAGCAATACTTTGTTTTTTTTTCTGTAAAAAATAAAGTTTGTATGTTTGTACATTTGATGTACATATCATTAGTTGAGTAATTATAATTATGAGTAAGGTTTTTATGTATTTTAGCTATTATTGTATTGCTAATATTTCTGTAAGTTTTTAATCTACCAAAGGTTAAAAAAACAATATTCTAAATATTAAATAGATCTACATTAAACTTACCTTTAATACGATTATGAAATTGTCCCATGTAAATAAATAAAACGTTTTTTCTTAATTTTATAGTTTTATTTAAAAACAAAACCAATTTAGCTGTATTCAGAACATTTAATAATAATTTTTAATAATAGTCAATTGCTAGTTAAATTATTGCATTTTTTTATACGAAACTAAAGGTAAGTAAATTCTCTATAATTAATACATGTTTGCATGACACTAAGGGACCTTGTAAATACACATTGACAAGATGTGGCTTTATGGGGCTTTATTCACGGGCTGAGGTTAGCAAAAAGTGTCATGCAATCGTTAAAATAAAGTGCCATTCTTGTAAAAATTATTTTATTATCTCAATACAAAAATATAAAAGCATTAAAATTTAATAGTTTCTCAAACGCCAATATTAGAAAAGTTTAAATACACTTTGTACTAACATTTTGATTTCGCCGGCAGTAAACTAGATTAACTACATTATCCATCAAAATTTTGAGTGGAGACTTCACCATGCCCATAAAACATTATCTTTACTTTCACTGTGAAAAACTACTTTTATATCGGATTTAAACGGTGGTGTCAGGGGATACATTTCGATTTACACATACAAATTTGACATTTGACAGATTTAAAATTAGAATGGATACTCTATTGTTTTATAGATGTTGCTCTATACAAATATTTAATTTTTTTAGATAATAAGTATTTGTGCTAGAAAAAGTATAGTATGCAACTGGTTTATAAACTTCTCTAGACACTCATTTAATTAAGCACTCGCTCGTGCCTGATTAAAATTCGTGACTAAAATGGCGTCAAACTTGATACTTAATATACTATTAACATTGTATTTTATTAGATTATCACTTAGTTTACTGGCTATTTAGAAAGTTATTGCAGATATTTTTTATTCTTTGCTTAGCGACTTAAATCGACTTACTCTGACATCTGTCAAATGGTTAACCTCACTTTTTACCAATTTTAAATGTTATTATAGTAGCCTTCTCCCAATTTAAAACCCGATTGGTTCAAATCACAGTGGATATTGAAATCGGCCAATCACTGATGCCTAACAACGTGAATAATGAGTTTATTATTCCCGTTGTTGGGCAAGGAATTTATAATGTTTGATATTATTCACGAAAAAAAAAACAATATTATGCAGTAGGAGTAGATAAACGAACATAAAGCGATTAGATATTTTTTAATTCAATTATGTTATCCGCATAATTAAAATGGTTCTGCAAAGTTTAGAAGCACAATTTAATGTATGCCCAACTGCTGTTATTATTTTAATTAAGTTTTCAGTCGACCTTTTTGTAAGTATGGATGGTCAGAATTACAAATATCATAATTATTATAAAAACATAATAAGCAAGGTTTATTAATTATTAATTAATTTTAAGGTAAATTAATTACCTGTTACCTGTTACAGTATCCGGAAATTATTTTAATTACATTTTCTGTCGATATTTTATATAAATATAATAAACGTAAAATAACTAAAATGCCGACTTTTTCAAAAATACACGAACGAATCAAGTAATTTTTTGCATAGAGAAATTATATAGGCTAATTTTTTTAACTTTTTTTGCCTATCTAGTTTTTAGCCTCAATGGGAAAATGATGGGCCCCTCGGGCCCCTTACACCACTCGTTACTTTATAGTCATTTCTTAGGACATTTTATCTACTCCAAATTTATGAGCTGTGACTATAGCGTTTTAGCCACAGGCTGAAGTTTGCAACAGTGGCGTTTGGGCATTTTAGTAATGGGCTGAAGTTAGCTTTATTTTAAATTAGGAAAAAGTAAGGTTAAATCCGTTAAAAGTTGACAGATGTCAAATGTTTAACAAATAAAATTGACTTTAAATTCTTTTTTGTGTTCGTTTTATAAACTTCTCTAGACACTCGTTTTTATTAAACGCTCGCTCGCAAGCTTCGCTCGTGACTAAAATGGCATTTATAAAACTTGATACATAATATACAGTTAATTTTTTTTATCTGGACTTGTGTTTTTTTGTTAGGTTGGTGGCTTATGTCAGTTTGACTTAGTATTTTTAGTATTTAAAAATGGTACTTCTGCTAAAGAATTTAATTAAATACTTTGACACTGTCAAATTGACAATAATATTTATTATTAATAATTTACTTGTCAATTATAAATAGAAAGATAATTATGCCAAAAATAATAGCAACGAATTCGAATGTAAAAGCCCTTTTGAGGGCAAAACTTCATTTTGATGAAATTATGCCAAATGCCACAATGGAAGAAAAAGTACATCGCCTTATGGACATTTTTGGAGTAAAAAAGTAACGAATTTGGTTTTATAAATATTACATCACACATTATTTTCACCATTGAACAACATTTACGTTCACAAAAAATTTTAATTTAAATAAATTCTTTTCAAAGCGAAGATTATTATCCGCTAGGAATACTTTCTTTTCTGGGCCGTACAGCAACCTATATTTAACTACTTTTTTTATATGATTTTACTCCTGCAAGCACCACCAAAGCCAAATTAATTGCATTTTTAACTACGAATTTCCACAACTCAACTTGACAACTGCACAATGTAACCTACAATAATTTATACATAACAACAATTAGATTTATAACTAGCTTAGTTTGTTTTATTCAATGCGACCAACTTGACAACTGTATTTCCAACCAAAACCCTAAATTTGCAATGTTGCCGCAGTCCAGATAAAAAAAAGCAGAAAAATCGTTGTGCGAATAAATTTAAAGTTTCCAATTTCTGGTTAATATTATTTTCTTGGACCTGGCAACAATGCGAGCAGCATCGAATCGATGATGTTCTTGTTTTCCATTATTAGGGGAAGTCCCAGTCTGAGGTGTATGCATGATATCTTGCCGTCTTTCAATAGAGCATTATTATTAAGTTAAAGGTGGATCTTATTCGAAAAATCGTTTTCTAAAAGTGTACCAGGTACACTCAATGCTGTCATTACACCAAAAAAATACTTTGATTGCATTATTAGACTCGTTTTACTTTTTAATTGTATAAGAAATATTAACTTAAATATTAATGTGTCACAAAAATATTGCACACAGAAAAATTACATTAAATTATATAAATTATATATTATTTCTTATAAAATTATTAATAACTTCTTTGACATGTATAATTTTAATTAATTTATTATTTTTAAGGTATTGTTTTCCAGTGCAATTTATTTTTTAAAGTATTAAAATTTAACTTAATATTTCTTACCCGATTAAAAAGTGAAACGATGTGCCATAATCGGCGCATTTACAAAAAAAATTCTCAATAATCACCAATACAATAAATGTATTGGTGGTGGTGAAAAAAACAATATTTCAAATATTAAATAGATTTACATTAAACTTACCTATGGTGTGATTATAAAATTGTTCCATGTAATAAATAAAACATTTTTTCTAAGTCTTATAGAGTTTTATTAAAAAACAAAACAAATTGTGCTGTAAATTTAAGCCTAAACAACATTATTCGAAAAGTATAATTTTAGAAAATCAGTCAAAACTTTCAATTTTTGAAGGCACATAATTTACAATAATACTGTGATCTCATGTCATATTAAACAACAGGTTCCTTCGTAATACTTAAAACTAGTACATTTATGTATAAACCTAAACATGAAACGATTCCTACTTTTTAATTGCACATTTTGTACAGTATGTACTGCTTCATATAAAATTTACATTTTAAAGTAAGTTTTTTGTTTTAATCTTTAAAGCGTTTAAAATTAACATAACAAAATATTATGTAAAAATTCATTTTGCCGGATGTTTCGAAAATTTCTCAACCAACAAATCTTAAAATCTGATGAAAAGATAAAATTTAATTATCCTAACTATATTCTTGTTAAACTTTGGTGTTATCACAACATAGTTACCATATGCTGAAGGTTACTAAATAATTGCCTAACAATAGAAACTTATTCTAATAGAATGAGTATTATTAATTTTGTCTGATTAAAAAAATTAACTATACTAATATCTGTATGGCATAATATACACCCTTATTGGTCACAGTATAATCTGCGCATGCATTTTGTCAACGTCAACGTCAACAAAAAATATTTACACACAAATTTTGAACATTGCGACTAGAAAAAAGTTATGTACTCATTATTCAAAAAAGTTCGAAATTTACTTAACATAACCGTTTATGGATTTCGATAGACAAAAAGCGAAAAATATGCCTAGCACTTCGACAAGCCCTAGTCCTATGCAAACGTATATCACAGTGTTAAGATGGGTCATTATCATGTTGACCAGTGCTGTGTAGCAACCCTGGAACAAAACATTTTTGTCAAATTTATTATTTTAGTTTTTGCTTGTTTTTGATATGGACTGGCTAACCAAAACTTTTCTTTTTGGAGTAGTATTAGGTTAAGGTTTGAAATTTTTTTAAGTTATCATGATTTTCAAAATTCGAAAACTTTCCAAAGGCTTTTTCTTCACTATTTCCTTGGGTATAAAATAAAAAGGTTTGACTAGTATGAAACGATAAGTGGGTGACAAATTTTCAGAATTTCAGTTTTCAAAATTATCAAATTTTTATAAATTTCCATTTTTTTTAAATTATCAAGATTTTCAAAATTCGAAAACTTTTCTTAACATGGAAATAAAATAAAAAGGTTTGATGAATAAAAACCGATATTGAGTAACAAATTTTTAAAAATTATAGAATTTTTAAAAATTTCCATTTTTTTTAATTATCAAGATTTTCAAAATTTGAAAACTTTTTTAAGATGGCGGATTGACTTTTTCTTCACAATTTCCTTAACATGTGTATAAAATAAAAGGGTTTGACGAGTAAAAAACGATAAGTGAGTGATACATTTTTAAAAACTATCGATTTTTAAAAATTTACAATTTTTTTTTAATAATTTTAATACGGCGGATTTAAGTTTTTCTTCAAAATTTTTAGAATTTTCAAAATTCAAAATTGGCTTAAGATGGCGGATTTACTTTTTCTTCACAAATTCCTTAACATGCATATAAAATAAAAGGGTTTGACGAATATAAAACGATAAGTGAGTGACAAATTTTCAAAAATTATCAAATTTTTAAAAATTTCCAATTTTTTTTAAATTATTAAGATTTTCAAAATTCGAAAACTTTTCAAAGTTGGCGGATTTTTATTCAAAATTTCCTTAACATGGGTACGTATAGAAAGTGAGTGACAAATTTTCAAAAATTTACAATTTTTTTTAATTATCAAGATTTTCAAAATTCGAAAACTTTTTTAAGATGGCGGATTGATTTTTTCTTCACTATTTCCTTGACATCGGTATAAAATAAAAGGGTTTGACGAGTAGAAAACGATAAGTTAGTGACAAATTTTCAAAAATTATTAAATTTTTTTTCACAGTTTCCTTGGCATGGGTATATATAATAAAATGGTTTGACGAGTAGAAAACGATAAGTGTGATAATTTTTTAAAATTATCAAATTTTCAAAAATATCCGTTTTTTTTAAATTATCAAGATTTTTAAAATTTTAAAACTCTCCTAAGATGGCGGATTGACTTTTTTTTCACAATTTCCTTAACATGGGTACGTATAGAAAACGATAAGTGAGTGACAAATTTTCAAAAGTATCGGATTTTCAAAAATTTCCATTTTTTTTAAATTATCAAGATTTTCAAAATTCTAAAACTTTTCTAAAATGGCGGATTGACATGGGCATAAAAAAAGGGTTTGATGAGTAGAAAACGATAAGTTGGTAATAAATTTTCAAAAATTTCCAATTTTTTTTAAATTATTAAGATTTTAAAATTCTAAAACTGGCTTAAGATGGCGGATTTACTTTTTCTTCACAATTTCCTTAATGGGTATACAATAAAAGGGTTTGAGGAGTATAAAACGATAAGTGAGTGACAAATATTCAAAAGTATCGAATTTTAAAAAAAATCCAATTTTTATGAAGATTTTTAAAATTTGAAAACCATCTTAACTTTTTCATAGTAATCTTCCTGACAAGGGTATCAAATGAAAGGGTTTGATGGGTAGAAAACGATAGGTGGGTTTAGAATTTTCAAAATTTTAAAATTTTCAAAAATTCAAAGATTTTCAAAATTTTAAATACAATGCGCGTCAAAATTAACGTATAATAAGTAACAAAATTCTAACTCTAAAACGCCTTTACCAAACTATGAAATTTTGTTTAAAAATACTTTATCTTATATCTCAGTTTACGTGTTTGAGGGTTTTTCAAGAAAATATTTTTAAACGCCTTTTAAATAATAATAAAAAAAAAGTACAAAAAAAATAACTTTCAGGGCATTTTTAAGTAAATAATACCGTATTTTTGTTAGTATACCCTAAAATTTTTGTACAAATAAAACGAACAGTAACAAAGATACAGCGCTTCAAAGTCGGTAAAAATGACCCCTTTTTGATTATTTTGCTAAACAGTGATCATTTTCAGGGTATCCTTACAAAATACGGTCTTTTACAGCATATTTTTTATTTACTTAAAAAAAATTTCCTATAAAAGTTTTTCAAGCGTTTTTTATTATTAAATAAAAGTGCTTTAAGAATGTTTTCTCGAAAAACGCTTGAACACGTAAACTGAGATATAAGTTAAGTATTTTTATACAAAAGATTGGTAAAGTCGTTTTAGAGTTTGATTTTTTTTTACTTGTTATGCGTTAATTTTGACGCGCAGTGTACTTTAGAATTTTCAAAATTATAAAATTTTCAAAATTTCAAAGATTTCTTCATTTCTAAAACACGTAGGACCGCGACAGATCACTTACCTTCTTGTAGTACGAATTGACGTCATTCGGACTGGACGTGCAGGTGGAGGCTAGCGGTTTCAGCACCAGAGGGTCGCGTCCCGGTTCGAGCACGCAACACGACTCCGGCACGACTTTGCTCTGCCGCGCCCACGCCGAGTTGGCCTGGTAGTCGGTGTAGCCGTCCACGCCGCAACACTGCAAATTCGCCTGCAAATGGTCCCACGACAGCGTGACAGCGTTGCCGTTCTCGGCGCCGCTGTAGTACTTGGTGATCGTCGTTTTCAGCAAGTTTCTGGTCTCTTCTTCGGCCTAAGATTTTGGGAAACGATTTTAGTGGGTTCCTGGCTCGATTTTGGTGTTTTGGCAAATAGCTATTTTCAGAAATATTCTTATAACAGGGTTGCCACCGATTTGTCTAAACCAAATTCCCTGACTTTTCCAGACAAAATGTGTTTTCTTTTTGGTATGGGGGCCAGCCATTCTACACTCACAGACAAAATAATCGATCCACACAAATTTTCGATGAATTTCAATCGCATTTCGGATTTAAACAAATATTAAAGAATATTGTAGATACATTAATGGAGAATCGCTCACATTTTAAAAATTACTAAAAAATACACGTACGTTTATAATATACAGGTTTACCATAAGTTTAAGACACTCTGTAGAGTGGCAAAACCGTATATTGTTCTAAATTAAGTTTTAGTTCATCAAGTCACATCTATTTTTAACAGTTTTGTTTTTGGTTCACCTTGATATATTTATTTTTGTGGAAAATATAGATTTTTTTAAAAAACATTGCAATTTCCAATATTTTTCCTGTATGAAGAACTAAGGTTGCTATGCTCCATCCATAGCCTATGGAGAATAACAGTGACAATTTTGTTGAATAATAATAATAATAATTATTATCCCATACTTGGACATGTCATATACAGCTTTCAAAAGCTATCAAATTGTTTTTTGTAAATTAATGTGTTAACTTTGAGGTGTCTTCTTACTATTAAAAATGTCTCCGACTGATGTTGCCCTTTGTACTTTACTTCTTATGACGTTTAAAACACTTGCCACGTAATACTGTGACCGTCCATCCTGGATTAAATTAATAGCTCTGGCAACATCAGTCGGAGACATATCCATTTTATGAAGTAAGAAGACACATCAAAATTTAAACATTAATTTGCAAAAAACAATTTGATAGCTTTTGAAAGCCGTGTATGACATGTCCAAGTATGGGATGATTCAACAAAACTGTCACTGTCATTCTCCATAGCCTATGGATGGACCATAGCAACCTTAGTTCCTCATACAGAAAAATATTGAAAATTGCAATGTTTTTATAAAAACCATATTTTCCACAAAAATAAATATATCGAGGTGAACCAAAAACAAAACTGTTGAGAATAGATGCGACTTGATAAATAAAACTTAATTTAGAACAATATACGGTTTTGCCACTCTACAGAGTGTCTTAAACTCATGGTAAAAAACATCTTTTTGTTTAAACCTGTATATTATAAACGTACGTCGATTTTTTAGTATTTTTTTAAAATGTGAGCGATTGTCCATTAATTTATCTACAATATTCTTTAATATTCGTTTCAATCTATCAAATAAAAAAGTTATTTGCGATTGAAATTCATCGAAAATTTGTGTGGGTCGATTATTTTGCACGTGAGTGTAGTAAGCAGTAATTTTGTAATTTTTAACCCCCCCTTCCTTTTGTCAGCAAAAGTAAGTAATGCTTATCATTAAAAATATACAAAAAAATCAAAGCAATCAAGCCTTTGGTGCTTATGTAATACTTGAATTTATTTTTCTCTTGGTGGAGAGTTTTAACGATTAATTAAAAAAGTAAACCTTTATTGAAGTTTATAAAATTTAAAAACAATAACAAAAAATCAATACTTCTTAATTTTCTGTAGCTAATTTTTTCCGGGATAATTTTTAATTTAGGTTTTTGTTTCTTAGGTTTTTATTACATTAATTTTCTGTTCAATCTGAAAATAACAGAAATTTTTAAAAATGCCGCTGAATGTTTGTCTGCGGCAGATCTTGATTATCAAGTTGATGAGTTCTTATCAGGAAATATTTGAAAGTACAAAAAAAAAATATTTCTTCTATAATTTTTTGCAAGAGTTTTTATTGAAGTAATTTGATTTATCTGGTTATTTTCTAAAGCAATATTATTATTATTATCAGGTAAAACTGTATCTTTTTCAAGCATACTCTCTAAAAAAGAATTATTGAAATATGTCATTTTTGACTAATTCACTGCAGTCACTAATAACTGTAGTACACAGCAATTTGTATCCAGGACATTTAACAGCCAATTCTCATGTAAAATTGTCCCCTGAATCCGAAAAGACCGTCATAGCAGTTTTTGACATATAGTCAATACCATATTATATGGAAAATTGAATAAATCTTAAAAACTGTCCTACTTTTATAACTTTTGACGACATATTCGGATTCAGCAGACAATTTTACATAGGAATTGACTGCTAAATATCCGGGATACAAATTGCTGTTGACTAGAATTATTAGTGGCTGCTTTTTCGCTATGGCAATTAATTTTTAGAGAGTAGTATTTTCCATCTGGTTCTTTTTTTTTAAGAAAATTTGACAAATTTGTGTTCTTCGTTGCTGAAATCCTTTTTTAATGGCCCGCAATTTTTATATGGCCTATGACTGCTTGCAATTCAAACATTTGGCTTGAAACAGTTTTTTATCAACAGGAACTATGATTTTTCAAAGTCTTTTACTGATTAGTTTATTAATTATGCTTACCATTTACAAAATAAAGAAATATTAATCACCCTAAACATAAAAATAGTTGGTTATAGTCTTAAAAGGTTATATTGATAAGTCGTGATATAGACTTATAAGGTTATAGTGATAAGTTTGACATATAGCGCTGCCATATTTTGAATAAATTAAATTTAAATTACACTCATTAACATAATTTTTTTTTTTTTGAATAAAAATTTTGTTGACCAGTTTTATTTATAAATAACCAATTCCCTGACTGACTTGGGAATTCCCTGACTTTGTAGTTTGTTTTGCCAGTTCCCTGACATTTCTAAAAAATTTAAATTCCCTGACATTTCCAGGTTTTCCAGGTGAGTGGCAACCCTGTTTAAACGAGTTGCATACTGTTTTATTTTCTACGACAAATACTAAAAAATTATAATTTAATAATTGAAGGGGTCATTGCAAGAAGTGCCTAAGTCACATTTGCAATAAAATTGACATTGTGACGCTATCTAAAAGTGTTTCACTTCAGCTTTCAGGTGGTATTTGCAGTGGCAGAAATATGTGTATAAGTTCCTTAGTTTGCATTTACTTCAATGGAAGTTTACCTGGTTTTCAATTCAAGAAGTACCTAAGTCATCATTTTGACATGTACCTTAGTCCACGTTATTTAAATTAGGTTATATCTGAGCAAATTACCTCTTAAACTGTGTAAATCCTAATAATTTGTGTCTGTGATTAAAAACAAAACTATGGCAAGTAAGTAAAGTAAAATAAAATAGATTGTGGAACCTTAAAACATACCAGTTCCCGTTTTTTTTGCTCGAACCTTATCTGAAAATGGAAGTATAATCCAACAAAATGATATCATTGATAAAGAAATTGATCAGTTACAAGAGGCCGACGCTGTTTATGAATAGCCAGCCTTCTTATTATATTCTTAGTTTTGCTTAAGTTATGTCTTAGTCTTAAGTTTTTTTTTAAATTTATATATATTTTTTACGGCGTTATAATATAATAAACCTTTTTTAAGTAAAATATAAACATTTCAACACAAAAAGTGCCCAAGTCCCAAATTATTTCATATATTTTTTTTTGATATAAAAAAAACGTTTTTTCTTTTTTAATCATGGACATCCAATCCACTTTTCACAAAGAATACAATACAACACACATTTTCAACATAATATTTTGTGTAATATTTTATAATCAAAAATAAACCTTCAAACCGCAATATCTCAGAATCACCTATTTGTGACTAAGGCACTTCTTGCATTGACCCCTTCAATTATTTAAATTAAATATTTATATACGCTAAAGAAGCATTGTCAACAACACATACTTACAAAGCATACATCATTTTTAAATAAGTAAGTAGCTTTTTCACTCGACAAATTTTGTTCAATTGCACATGTACGATAATGGGCGTTTTAAAGGTGGGGGTAGAAAAAATATGTTTTTTTTTACCTTTGTTTTATATATAATGGCGAGTCCACCAGCTGTAATTTCCAAAATTAATATAATGAGCAGTAAAATTCCATACTAAAAAAAAAACAAACAAAACGTTAGCATCTTCTAAAACTATTTATTTATTTAAATTAAAAAGCGTGAAATTTTTCTTGATTTCACTTTTATCATGTTTAAATTGATAACCTAACTATAAAGTTTCTATTCACCACGTATATAAAATTATTATTCTAATATTTTTTTACGTTAATAATTAAGGTCGATGCTGAATTGGCCTAATTAATCTACCTAGACAAAATAAATTAATAATATAAAAATATATTTTGTTATTAGGTATCAACAAAAAAAAAGATATTAATTATAGTTTTAAATACACCCTAAATGATTCATTAGAGGTTTATAGAGAACTAAAGGGACTTTGTTTTTTTTTTTTTCAAACAGACTTTTTTTTGTTTTTTTTTTTCATTTTATTCAAAGGGTAATACGAACAAAATGCAAAAGTCGATTTTTCTGAAAATTAACAAATTTTTACGGATGGTATCCGTACACTGATGTCGAAAAAAAAGTAAATTTTTGACGCTGATTATAATCATATATAATATTATGATTATAATAATTATTCATTTTATTTTAATACTGCAGTAATATTATTCTACCTGGTGCTTTATTAACATACAAACTTTCGTTTTATTTAACACTTTGATTTATTAAATAATAATTTTGTAATTTAACTTTATAGATCATTCATTATTTTGTAATTGGATATTTTAAATGGACATTTGCAAAAATACCCCTCCGACAGTATATTTAAATCAATTTAATTTAATTCAATATTTAGTTTTATTTTTTTTGTAATAAAAGATATTTTTTTAAATTAAAATAATGTTAAGTTGTTGATTGCTACTTTTTTCAAATGTGTATACAGGGTGTTATGTAATTAATGTTATATATTAAAATACTGAATACCTTTTGACATAAGGAATAAAGGAAAAATATTTAAAAAAACATTTTTCCAAAGATAAAGAAAAAATATGCATTAGAAGTTTTTTATATTTTTTGTGATACGCCACTGGTTACACACTTGTTTATCTCTGCACACCTGTATTTTGTGAGTACATAGATACCAACCAACAAAGTAGCTATGCGATGTAAAAAATTGTTACTAAAAATTTTTCTTGCAAAAAATAAATAAAAACTCAATAAATACAAAAGTTTTATGCCCTTAAAGCTCTAATACCCTTCTGTATTTATTTACTGATCCAGCTATTAGCTTAAGCAATGATTAGAAAATTTAGTACCTTTGAAATTTGAAATCCATAACCACAAAATTAATTTTTTCATCAATGTTTTTCTCTGTTTACTCAGATGAAATTGAGACCAGTTTACAGGTTAAACTTTAAACATTTAATTTGTGTAAATAAATCCAAAAGCACTTCCCTTAGTTAAGATATTTACAATTTGAAAACATAACCTAAAATTTAAAAGAAATGCACTAGATTCTGTCATAAAAGTTGGCAGATTTTGTTTGAATTTACCTTCAGTACAAAAATGAAATAACCAACAATTAATAAAAACGCCAAATTGACAATTTGCATTGTTAATTTTGTCATTTTTGTAGTTAAGCTAAATTTAAACAATGTTTGTCAACTTTTTTGAGAGATTTTGGAAACACTGTTACCAACCATAACATAATAAATCCACCAGATTAACCTAAAGTTCCTAGTCGATCAGTGGCGTACTTTTTGGTAGGATAAAGGTTATTATAAATTATTTTTAGACTTTGGAATTTAGAAAAAAAAAGTTTCAGGTGCTTCTTTATGGACCCTAAGGAACAACCCATTTTAATATATAACATTAATTACATAACACCCTGTATTTTACAAAAAAAAAATAATTCCCAAAAAGACAATTTTATTTTTAGAACCGGTAGACATTAAATACTAATTGTTGACATAAAAAAAAATCAAAATGGCGTCTCACTGTCTAAAGATTATTTTTTTTCAATAGAAACTACAGTTCATTTTTTTATCTAGACTCGTGTTTTTTTGTTAGGTTGGTGGCTTATGCCAGTTTGACTTAGTATTTTTAGTATTTAAAAATGGTACTTGTGCTAAAGAATTTAATTAAATACTTTGACACTGTCAAATTGACAATAATATTTATTATTGATAATTGATAACTATCAATTATAAATAAAAAGATAATTATGCCAAAAATAATAGCAACGAATTCGAATGTAAAAGCCCTTTTGAGGGCAAAACTTTATTTTGATGAAATTGTGCCAAATGCCACAATGGAAGAAAAAGTATATCGCCTTATGGACATTTTTGGAGTAAAAAAGTAACGAATTTGGTCTTATAAATATTAAATAACACATTATTCACCATTGGACAACATTTACGTTCACAAAAAATTTTAATTTCTTTTATAAGCGAAGATTATTATCCGCTAGGAATACTTTCTCTTCTGGGCCGTAAAGCAACCTATATTTAACAACTTTTTTTATATGATTTTACTCATCCAATCACCACCAAAGCCAAATTAATTGCATTTTTAACTACGAATTTCGACAACTCAACTTGACAACTGCATAATGTAACCTACAATAATTTATACATAACCACAATTAGATTTATAACTATAGTTTGTTTTAATCAATGCGACCAACTTGACAACTGTATTTACCAACCAAAACCCAAAATTTGCAACTTTGCCGCAGTCCAGATAAACAAAAGAACTTTGAGATTCTGGTGTAATTTTTTTATTGCAACCTGTACTATCACAAACATAACATATAACAAGCTTTAAAAGACCTTTAAAATGATATGTCATGTGGGCATTTTTTTTTTAAATGTGACCTTTTGACAGTACGACGCCATTTAGAAAATTTTTCTGTATAAATATTGTTCAATTAATTCAGTAATGGATCTCTATTGCGCCAAATTAAACTGTTTAATTGAAGATTAGAATGCATTTCCTGGAATTTATTAACAAAACTGCATTTAGGAGTCACCAACCTCAAAAAATTACTCACCTGGGTTCTGCACGGGAAAAAGTTTTTCCCGTTTCTTTAAAAACAGGTACAATGAAAAATATGATTTGATAAATTACGTATTAATTATAATTAATACGTAATTGCGTTCTTCACATATTAATATTATGAGTATGCTTTAAGTAAACAATAACATCACAGCCAAGATTAATTTAATTTTGCACCTCTCCCACAAGGCATGTCAGTTTGGTACCCATGCAAAGTGTATTAACAGCTTTTAAATTGGCTACAACCTTTTTTATTATTAGACGCAATTAAAGCATCCTACTGCATGATTTATTTTTTATTGTTCGCAATGTATACTCAGATTGTGTCTGGTTTCTTTGAGCAAAACCTTTTAGTAGAAAGATAATATTAGCACCATTAATGTATTAGGCAGATAAAGTTTATCTACCTAATAAATTACCTATTTATTATTATTAATTTTTTTCCGTAATTTACAGTGTTGCCAGATTTGTTGCTCCAACAAGATACAGCAAAAGTTTCATGCATCAAAAATTATTATTCAAAGGCACCTTTTAATGACTGTAATAAATATATGTGTACATTGTTTACTTACCGTGCTCAACATGCATTGACTTTCTCTTAACGCTCCGCAGTAACCCAAAAAGCTGACGATAAACATAAAAGCGCCTATGGCAATAAGAACGTACGACATCTGTTCAATCACTCCGGTTTGAGTGAATTGCTACAAAAAAATAATTTTATAAAATGTGTTAATAGTACTGTTATATGAAACCCCTACGACATTTATATACAGGGTGTCCCGAAAACGGAGCCCTAACTGTATACAACGTTTTAAGGGGGTTTTTAACCATTAATTTTTTAAACGGATGACTATGGCACGCCGTTTTAGCATATATTAGATAATAGTTTGAAGATTAAATTTACAATGTTACATTTTTTTAAACTCAAAGCAATTGATAGTCAAAAAATATTTTAAATATAAAATACACCTGTAAAACCGAGTAAAACCGCGTAAAACTTTAAGCTTAAAAATATTGTAGTTCAAATATTTTATTCCGGAAAATGATCGGTTTAAATGATAATTTTAATACAAACATTTTCACATTACATTTAAATGTAAGTTTTAAATTTTAAATGACTCTTTACAAACAATTTTAAATTGACACATGTTTAACACAAAATTTACAACTTTACATTTAAATATAAGTCGATAATTTTTAATATACAAAGTGTAAACGTAGCTTTAGCAGAAGGCGTACGCTGTCTCTTTCTAGAATGGTCAATTTTAAGCATAGTCTATATAGTCCGGGAGGCAGTGAAGATTTTCGGTACTTATTTTCCCAGTCGGCAAACACCGATACAATTATTGGGTTTGTTATTCTGAGCAAAATTTATATATATTTAGGTGGGGGTTTTCCGATGGGTTAAGGCGGAAAATGCGTTATAAAGTACAAATATATTGCACTTTTTTTTCAGTGATAAAAATAATTCCATTAGTGAGAGATATAGTGAACTTAAAAAAAATAGTCTGGCTAATCTGTGAGTATGGGTAATATGTCTGGCAGGTGGAAAAATTATAAAAACCATTGCCCTTATTTTCGCAGTCCCAAAAATTTTGTGAGATGATAGTTTATATTATAATTACAGCTGCAAATATAGTCTGGCTAATGTGGAACACTCCGAAAGCCTTACCAGACGCGTCCAACCCTCCACAGGCGCGCTAAATTCGGCATGTTCAATTATACAGGCGATTGTTGTCATCTCTACATGTTTTTACTTTTCATAATGTATGATAAGAAAATAATTTGTGTAAAGCAAAATTTAAATATGGCTAAAAAAAATGTCAGTCCGTCCGCCACCAAAAAACTTTATTCGCGAATAACTTTGTAACTATCAGAGATACGAGAAAATTTGTGCAGTTGTTTTTTGTAGGATTCTCTACAAAATCGATCTCTTGACAGTCTTTTGTATCTCCCTTAGTTTTTGAGTTATATCAATAAAAAAAAGAAAATCGCGAAAATTCCCATTCAAACGCGAGTTTCTGCTATCTGACTTGTGAGTCTGGCGGGGCTTTCGTGATTGTAAATAACAGCCAGACGTGTATTTTCTACGAAATTATAGTATTATTTATCATGTGACAAATTTTCAAATCCGGGAAAATAAGAGCAAAATTTTTGTAATTCTTACGATTTTCAAGATGCCGCCAGAACAATTTGCCAATTTCATAAATCAGCCAGACTTAATTTTGATTATAGTTTATGACAGTACCAAATAATGGGTTAAATTTTAAGCATGGGAAAATAAGGGCTACGTATTTCAAAAACCGGTCAATTTTTTGCTTCCGCAAATTTTCAGCCAGACTGACTTTCCTTCACTTGGGATGTGCCAGACTGTTATTTCCATTAATAAAATGACTCACTTTAATTAATGTGAAATATTTATGACTGGGAAAATAAGTGGACTTGACTTTTTGGCTCATCTAGTGAACCCATCCAAAAATTTTAGCCAGACACACAAATTGTCGTTTTGTGTCACCATTTGAACAAACTTAATGACATTCACAAACTGGGAAAATAAGAAGATAAAAATCTTCATTGCCTCCCGGACTAATAATCTGTGAAACAAAGCGCGAAGTCTGCAGCATATGCTAAAGCAGCGTTTACACTGTAAATTAAAAATTATCGACTTACATTTAACTGTAAAGTTATACATTTTGTGTTAAAAATGTATCAATTTAAATTTGTTAAAAATAAAAGTTTTTGGTTTAAATTTCCTAAGAGTCATTTAATTGATAGTCGATAAATGTTTTAATCCAAAAATAACCAATAAAATTTAAAACTCACATTTAAATGTAATTTGAGAATTTTTGTATTACAAATTTATCGACTATCGTTTAAATAACTCTTTACAAATTTAAACCCATAATTTTGTAGAATAAAATATAAAAACTACAATTTTTAAAAACCAATATTTTAAACTTAAATTTTTACATTTGCATTTTATATTTAAAACATTTTTTGATTCTCAATTATTTTGAGTTTAAGAAATGTAACTTCTTATTTTGGTAATAAATATTAAATGTGTTTTTATTTTAAATGTCTCGACACTATTTTTAAATACTAAAAAAATTAACTTTACCAATTTAATCTAAATAATTTTATAAAATATTTATTTAATATTTAAAAAATTCTGCCCAAATAAATTATACTAAGAAATAATTTTTATTAAAAAAAAATTTTTGCAAAAATTGATTGGAAATAATATTGAATAATATTAAAATACAAAAGTTAACTGTTAGTTACATTTTGCCTTTCAATACATGATAGTTGAAAATATTTTTAATTTATAAATTAGTTAGGAACATTTTAAACCAATAAAATTTTAAATTAAAAAGTTGACAATTGAAATATAAATATAATAAAACAACAAATTTAACATTGGGAACCATTGTTTTTTTAAGGTTGTTTCTAATAAATAGTTTCTTTTATGCGGTTTGAAAAATAAGCGAAGTATATAATTTAAACTAAAAGCAAAAAATTAAGCCTTGCAAAAATTTGTTGACGAGAACATGGCTATAAAGTCAGGTCAATTTGATTATTAACCCAAAACTGATGTCATCACAATATTCGCTTGAACATTTATTATTATTTTTTAGTGCGTTACACTTAATAAGTGAATATTAAAAGAAAATATTGCAAAAAACAGGAGTAAGACTGGACTTCAATTCACAACTTCATCTGCTGTTGTACTAGATATTGTAATAACAACAATACACTAAGTATTAATAATATTATGTTATTACTAACTGATTAAATTAAATGAAGACATAGTACTTTTTTCACAAAAGAGAGGAAGGCAGAATACGGAACGTTAAAAATACTTTAAACTTTGAATTCACTGTGAATTCATCGTGAATTCACCGTGAATATACCGCCAAAATACGGTGGATTCACAATTAAAATACTGTGAAAAGTGCGTGAATTCACCGTCTACTTACCGTTTACAAATGTCACAAACAGACGGTTTATTCACAGTGAATTCACGGTGAATTCACAGTGAATTCACGGTGAATAAACCGTAAACTCAAGGCCGCAAGGGCTTTTAATAATGCATAACCCTGTTTGAATTTAGACGACTTATTTAAATGCTGAATACTGACTACTTTAAATCATGTCTGTAAAGTAGGGCAAGTCCAAAAACCGTTTAAAGATTTCAAACGCGGAATTTAAAACAATGCAAAAAAATGCCGCGCTTCAATTACGGGTATTGATAACATAATTATTTAATTATTTTGCAAACTATTCTAAATTGTAGATCAATACTGACATTTTTATGAAGAATAATTTTTCCCGTTCCTAATGTGCCTACCCTTTGCTATTGTGGCCTAATAAATAAAGCAATGCATGTTACGTGTGCAATAAGTGGTAGTAGCCACGTGGCGCATTGTTTATTACATGTAACCCCAGTTCTTTCAGGGTTCAACAACCCTTTGGCACAGGCAAGTGCAACGTTTCTCCATCGATAATAATAATACCTGCTGCATTATAAATTTTTTATTAATACTTAACCATTACTTTCCTTTCAGAATATTATATGTTCGTAATGTTGATTACATTGAAGTAATAGGTAGCATGGCAAGACTAAATATATTTAATAACTACTACTTAGGAAAAGTTAGTTAAATGAACCTTTTTTAATAAGCGCAGTGAATGTACATAATTTATTTATTACTAACGAACTATAATGTGCTACATTAACCGAATTTAAACCAAAACCAAAGAGTTATATAAAAATCCGTTTGAAAAACATTGCACAAATTGCATAATTTTCTATAAATGTGCTACGTTATCCAAGATAGTTGGATTGGTTTTTCTAATTACTTTGTTTAAGTCAATTTTACATAATTTGTTGGAAACAGTAAGATTTTATATTCAACCATTTGCACAATATTGTCAAGAAAAGAGTTGAAATCTGTTGTTAAAATATTTAAAAAATAAATGTTACTCTTTTGTACAATTTTTTAAATAATTGGTATAAATATAGTATAACTTTGAATTAGAATATAAATTTTAGAATATTGGACAATTTGTTCGGGAGTGAAGCATCACACCACCTAAGATAACCAATGAAATGATTTCCTGATTGAAATAAGACGCCGGCCGGTCGCTCAACTGCAATCTGCATCATCAGTTTGCAGTTTTAGTTAGTGTTAGCAAGTGTATCATTTTGAGGTTATTACGAGATTTTTGCTTAGTAATTATTGAATATTATTTTTCCGAATAGTGATCCTAGTGATCAAATGAGGATAAAAAGTGTTTCTATCTTCCTACTGTGCTACATTATTGATTAGCTTACTATTTACATTAGTTTGTAATTTATGTTTATTTTATTTTTTAGTTTATATCAACTTAATTCTATTCTTAAAAAAATTTTGTGTTGATCGCTGAATACATATATATTTAATCTAACGACATTTGTACTATTATAAGTAAAGACGCACTTCATGTTAAATTATATCTCAATATTAGAATTAGCTATACGAATTTTATTTTTCAGTTTGTAGTTTTTATTTTCCATATTTTTTATATACATAGGTATCTAAATTAATAATTTAGTATTATTTTTCTTTTTACCAAACAAATTGGAGAAATTATTATTAAACAATGTTGTGTTATTATGTGCCAAAATTTGTCCAATTTCACCACAAAAAAATATTAAAAAAGTCCCTAAAATACTCATTTACTAACACAAATTATATGAGCCGATTAGATTAAAATATGTTCAAATATCAAATAAATTACGTAAGTTTTTAATATATTAAGTTAGTACAATTATTTGCTTCAATTTAGCATAAGTAAAAGTATTTTAATTCAATTTCAAACGAAATAAGAATTGATCTAATTTTTATTTGCTTTATTTATTTTATTATTTTTGTTTTTAGAAACTTATAAAATTCGATTTTTGGAATGGATGGTTTTAGGAAAAAAAACGTAAAAGACCTTTTTTTAAAGCGTAACATTTTCTACATAAATCATTGAATAATTGAAATGACATTTAGGACGGGGATAAACGACATTGGAATTTTTTTTAATTGTTTTTAAAATGTAAAAAAATAATTTTGATGATACACAAGTCCCAACTTGGGAAATTCAGGATACCCTAATATATTTTTCTAATAATAGGAGCATGTTATCCTGAAAATATTAATTTTTTAATTATATTAAATTACCTGTATATTTTCATTTGGCACAACTTTGCTTAATCCAATAAAAGAATTCTTGTCGACTGCTAACCAAGTTCCAATACCTAGAACCAACGATCCAGCGAGCTAAAAAAAAACAAAAAATCATAGATTTTCTACAGAAGATTTAATTTTGATTTGTATTACCTACTTTTAAAGTAATTTGTTAATATAAAAAAATATTCACGATTCTATATCAAATCAATAGTTATTATAGTATCTATAATAGTTAAATTAATGTTCTCATTAAAAAAAGTATATTTTTTATCAACTTGATACGCGCCATTTTAGTCGAGAATTTAATCTAGGCACGAGCGAGCTTGCGAGGGCACTTTATTTTAACGATTGTATGACATTTGACAACTGTCAACTAACTTAAAGCTAACTTCAGCCCGTAGCTAAAATGACTATTAAAAATTAAACAAGATAGAGAAAAAATGCAAGAGACAAAAAATTGATTAATCCAAAATCAGGATTAAATTAAATTAATTTAATTACACTGCCCGTCAAAAATAACGCATAATAAGTTAAAAAATTCTAACTCTAAAACGCCTTTACCAATCTTTATAAAATATTGTATAAAAATACTTCTTCAACGTTTACGTGTTCAAGAGTTTTTCGAGAAAATATCCTTAAAGCCCTTTTATTTAATAATAAAAAATGCTCGAACAAAAACTTTTATAGGGAAATTTATTTTTAATTAAATAAAAAATATGTTGTGCAAGACCGTATTTTTGTTAGTATACCCTGAAAATTTTGTACAAATCAAACGAACAGTAACGACAATACAGCGTTTCAAAGTCGTCAAAAATGACCACTTTTCAGCAAAATAATAAAAAAGGGTCAATTTTACCGACTTTAAAGCGCTGTATCTTAAATTTTACAGCATATTTTGTATTTACTTAAAAAAAAAAATCCTTAAAGTTATTTTTCGAACGTTTTTTTAATTATTAAATAAAAGAGCTTTAAAAATATTTTCTCGAAAAACCCTCGAACACGTAAAGTATTTTTATACAAAATTTCATAAAGATTGGTAAATGCGTTTTAGAATTTTTTTACTTATTATGCGTTAATTTTGACGGGCAGTGTACTAAAAACCTGAAAAGTTTTTTTTTAATTCAGAGATTTTAAAATTTAAAAAAAAAATATTTTGTCTAATAACTTAACACCCTGTATCTCATAAACAAAACTTTAAAACATACATGTTTATAAGAGTAGTTCTATCGACTACTAAACCACTAAATTTTCCCCATTAAAATCTGAGATACCCTGTATACTGCAGTCATTGATAGGTGAAGATTGGAATCCTTTTGCAACAAATTGCAAAATTATAAGAATGCAACTACAGGAAATGAGCATTAAAGACAATCAACATTTAAAAGTTAAATGGCTTCCTGTTGGTAAACAAAAGAAAAGCAAGCATTACCACTGCTAAATGCGAATTTGTATTTAATTTAAATTTATAGAAAGTAGAATTGATAAGGCTATAAAAAGTAAATATTTAATCAGTAAATAGGAAAATTATTAATCGAGTAATTTTTATTACAAAATTAGGTAAAGAAATTTGGAATTGTAGAAGAGAAACCAACATAGCTAATAACAGGTTTTGTAATTTTTTTAAGGACAGAATTTAATAAATTACCTACTATTATTGTTACAATAAAAATCAATTTTTAAGTGACCCAATTTTACAATATACCAATTATTGTTAATAGGCTTTTAAATAAATTAATTTCTATCCAGAAAAAAATATAAGTAGCTTAGGGGTATTTCCACGAAACCTTACCCCACCTAGACAAAAAATCAGATGTGTTACTTAACAAAATACCAACTATATCTAAAGTCAAATAGTTTAATTGCGACGTAATTTATAACCTTAAAATAGTTTCAATACTCGATAAAATGTTTAAATGTCACACCCGTTACATTTTGAGAAAATTTTAGAAAATAAAGAATGCAATTTTTGTGCATTTAAGATACGTGCTTGTTTAAGGTTACTATTCAAGTTTTACACAAAAAATTATTACTATATGCTTTCATCCAAAATTTTACAGTATCAACTTTAGAAGCCAACTTGGTCGCATTTGCCGATTTTCTAAGGTCGCGCCCGTTACGCTATTCATGACGTTATAAAAGGTTTTTTATACAAGTTTTTATTGACATTTGGTTTGAGTTAAATACCTAATTTTTCATACTATTTTTTATATATATCTTGATATGGGTGATCTAGAATAGGTATTTTAATATTTTTTGTAAATATTTTTGTATATTACAAAAGATCCAGGTTTTTTCAACTTGTCCACCCAATTTTAATGTATTTTTTCAAAAGCACGTTTGTAGAAAAACATAATAAATATTCAAAACATCAGTACCTTGGCGTGTCACAACTCCTGAATCAAAAATTTGAGTGATTTTATTTTAAAATATATTTTCAATTTCACTACAAACTATAAAACATTAAATAATGTATTTTTCATATTTTATCATAGATTCGAATAATAGCAATTTTAAAAAAATTGATAATCTTTGTACTCACTTTTACCCGTCAGTTCTGTGTCCAAACATTGGACTCCAATGTTAAAATTATTATTATTATTATTATAATTTATATAAGGCTATATGTGATTTATTGATAAGTAGCATACACTAATAAAAAAAAATCTCAAATTTGTATCCCATTCATCAGTACCGTGTCGTCAGTTCCATGTTCGATGTTTCGCTTATCTTTTTTTCGCAAACTTCAATTTAAATTCTGCTTGCGCAGAACTTGTTTATTTAATGTCATTATAAACTCATATAAATTTGGTGTGGGTCCCATATCTAATAATTGAGATATCGGTATACCCAAAATCCACCAGCCGCCACTGATGTGTGGTATTATTTGATTTTAAGATACTTAATGTATACTATGCTCAAAGTTGCAATAAATCTTATATTTTCCAATAAATTATGTATTTAATTAGTACCCTTGTATACTCGTCACTTCCCTTGCATTCAAATTTAGAAAACACAGATATTTCAGAAACTGTTTGAAAAAGTGACTGGCTCGGTCTGGAACAGTATATTTATTATATTATCTATGTTCTCATAACAAAATACTGTTTAATTTTCTCTGAAAACTATATAAACTAAATGAGTTTAAAAGTTGGCCAACTTTTGTAGAATCAACCATATATATGACCAAACACTTTATTATCATGAAAAAACCCAATTTTAGTGTCGCACCCGTTACAATGGAAATACCCTTAGGCAGCCTTGTTTAGTGCCTGTGGGAAAACAGGTATTTACAAAAGGTTATTTTTGAAAAAACGGAAGGTTACAAAATAAAAAAATATTTTTTTCAGCGGCCTCGCATAGGTATTTTTCTTTAAAAAAAACCCTACGGCAATATCTACTAAATCACTAAAGCAATTGCTAAAAATATATTATTTTTTTATTAGCAAAAAGAATCCACCATTAAAACAAAATTTGAGTCCAATTTAAGTGAAATAAGAACTAAAAATTAATTATTCGTGCTACTAAATGGGAAATAAACAAGTTCAAATTATAAAACGACTTAAACCTAACTTAACGGTTGTGCGACACGAATTTTAATGAATGGATAAAATCTCACTACAATTTTAAAATAAAAGAACTTCACACGTAATCGCGTACTCTACGGTACATTGAATTATTTCGAAGAATTGTGATAACGGTTACCTTAAAAAATTACTGCGTTTAAAAAAGCCGACAACAGCGCATTTATATGATTCATACGACATCCAAAATAATGCATCAATTGTTTTTAAAATTATTATATAATATACGATTGCCATAGTGATAGGCGCGCGGAATAGTGCTTAAACACTGACCAAGTTTAGTTTAATATAAGGGTGATTCTAAAAAAATGGACAACTTGATGTCATCAGTCAATAGAGTAGGTATTTTAATATTTTTTGTAAATATTTTAGTATATTACAAAAGATCCAGGTTTTTTTTAACTTGTCCACCCAATTTTAATGTATTTTTTCAAAAGCACGTTAGTAGAAAAACATAATAAATATTCAAAACATCAGTACCTTGGCGTGTCACAACTCCTGAATCAAATATTTGACTGGTTTTATTTTAAAATTTATTCAATTTATCTTTAATTTTTCAATTTTACTACAAACTATAAAACATTAAGTAATGTATTTTTCATATTTTATCATAGATTCGAATTATAGCAATTTTTAAAAAATTGATAATCTTGGTACACACTTTTACCCGTCAGTTCTGTGTCGAATGTTAAAATTCAAAACTCCTGCAAAATATTGAAGTTTAAACGTCAAGTCCTCGTTTTAACTCAAGTGTTGGGAAAAAATTACCTATAGAGCTCGCCCTTTGCACGACAGTCATCTTGAAAACAATGCAAGCGGCGAAGTTGTGGTGAATGCACGTATAGTTCCAGTCAAAATTTTAGTACTGTGGTGAGTAGTTATTTTCTTACGTATATATATTTCATTGTAATTTATATAAGGCTATATGTGATTTGTTGATAAGTAGCATCCACTAATAAAAAATATCAGTAAAATACTTAATTTTGAATTATAATCTCAAATTTGTATCCCATTCATCAGTACCGTGTCGTTCGATGTTTTGGTTATCTTTTTTTCCCAAACTTCAATTTAAATTCTGCTTGCGCAGAACTTGTTTATTTGATGTCATTATATATTCATATAAATTTGGTGTGGGTCCCATATCTAATAATTGAGATATCGGTATACCCAAAATCCACCAACCGCCACTGATGTGTAGTATTATTTGATTTTAAGATATTTAATGTATAATATGCTCAAAGTTGCAATAAATCTTATATTTTCAAATAAATTATGTATTTAATTGGTAACCTGGTATACTCGTCACTTCCGTTGCATTTAAATTTAGAAAACACAGATATTTCAGAAACTGTTTGAAAAAGTGACTGGCCCGGTCTGGAACAGTATATTTATTATATTATCTATGTTCTCATAACAAAATACTGTTTAATTTTCTCCGAAAACTAAATGAGGTCAAAAGTTGCCAAACTTTTGTAGAATCACCCATATATATATAAATCGCTCGGGCAAATTTAACGCATCGATTGGTGCTAGATCCATGGTCAGAATGTTTTAATGCATACAGACTAAAAAGTAAATATATTGATTGGATAATCAAAAACGAGATAAAGTTTGATTGCAAGATTTGATTTTGATTTGATAAATCGTTTAAAAAGTGTACTCACAAAAATTACAAAGTTGAAACAGCATAGTATATATTTTGCGAAGCACGAGCCACAATCGTAAGTCATGTTGCTTTGAGTTTATGTTGTCCTCTGGAGGAATGCAGCTGAAAAATATAAAAATTAAATTATTATTACTGGATTTTTTTACATTTTACATAATAGATCTATAGGTTGTTTTATGTTGCTAATGACGTATCAAACAAAATTCGACTACTATTTAAGTATTTAAAAATGCATTACTAAGTAATTAGTAGGTACATTTTTATTACAAACAAATACATTTAAAATTCAATAAATTAGCCATACCTATCTACCTAGCAATACCTACCTACTACCAGGATTAAATAGGTTGTTTATAAAACATACAAACTTCTACGTAAAGCAAAAGACGATTTCTGTATGATAATTAGGGTTTGGCAAAACTCATGATAACAATCACAAATAAAACCTATTATTAGAGGATGTGTAAGGGTAGTTTTCAATTACCCAAATTAAATTGTATTGGTCTAGCAGACCTAGAAGAGGATAGATATTTAATAAAACTAAATGAGTTTGAGTTACACTTTTATTGTGTTTTGATCTTTCATAATTAAGTAGATATTACAGCTCAGGTTCCAGATTTTTAACCGCAATTAATTATTTTTTACAATGTTTTAAAAGTTTAAAACCTATCCTCCGTGACTGTTACTCTCTCTAGATTAACCAATATGTTTTCAAATATCTGAGGTAGTAAAAGCATACTAAAAATATCAGCTCACTAAGTAAATTAAACATATCCAAAGCAATCGAATCAAATATAAACTATTATTAAAAATTAAAAGACAATTTTTATAACTATTTATGTAGGTGTTACAAAAATTAATTCTATCCTCCGTGAATCTGTTTTTGCTTTAAATTTTATGCAACGAATGGCGCTTTAATCATTTTAAATAAGCAAAAACCTCTGTTTATGACATGCATGTGATTCCTGAAGGTCAGTTTAGAATTTATATGCAGATGAGAGTGTTGCTGTTTTATAATTCAAAAGTTTAAGTTAATTCATTTGCTATTTAAAAATCTATCCACCGTGAAGTGTAATATCTCAGTAAGTAGATTTTTTTTTTAAATATTTTATGTACAATAATTGCATTTTTAAAAAATATTAAGGTGTCAAAAGATACAATAACTTATTTCAAATATACAAAGGGATGTTTAAAAAAAAATACGAAATCCTAACCTCCGTGAAGCTTTAATATTCAAAATGTATGATTTCTTAAAATTCTTGCATTAGTGCAGAACCATTATGTTATGTTCTTACTAGACCTGGTGGCTTCCCAAAAACCCCATTCTAGACTTGTGAAACAACCAAAAATAAAAAATAATCATTTTCACTTGGGGGACATCTCAATATATTCACCCATTTATTACAGATTTTACATTTTATCTAAGTACAAAACCTGTTTTTTAATTTTGGAAATTGTCCATTCTTGAGTTAAAATTAGGTACTTGTGAATGTTTTTCTCTTCAAGAAATTTAATTATTATAAGGAAACCAAATATCAAAAATACTTAGGTATATAAAATAATATTTGCATTATAGTAAATACTACTGAAAACATAATCAAATAAAAAAAATAATTTTATTTTCTGTGGAAGGTTTTACAAAAAAAATAAAGTCTATGAAAGTACATTCCTTGGCAAGAAATTCATACAAAAAATAAATGAAGACGAGAGGTTTGTTACATGAGATGCATCCGCAGCTTGCATGAGAACTTAAGGACAGGTAGGTACCTATTTTTTAATTTTAAAATCTTTAAAAATCATACAAAAAATTGTTATGGTCTTAATATCTAGTTAAATATCGGTTAAAACCATACTTAAAATCAAATATTTCAAATTAATTATGTTAAAAAATCTAAAATATTCATAACAATGATATGGTTTTAAATATGACAACATTGACGCAATCTGATGGCCCTGATTAACTTAAGAATTTTTGAGCAGGTGATATGATAGTTGTGCACCTATATGCATTCCTGTAATTTAATACTCCTACCTGCTAAACAAAATTTAAATGTTAATAATCGTTGCATAAGAAGTAATTAATATGAAAATGCATAAACAATGAGTTTAAATGTTAACTTAGTTATTACCTTTCTTATTTTCGTTGGAATGCAATTTCAAATAATAAGTTGTAGGTAATCAGTTTTTTTATCCTAAGCTTTACGCAGCACTATTTTTATATTTATTTTTATTTTATAACACCTGAGAATTAATCTATTTTAATTTAAAAGTCAAATACCAATGCAACTTGATCAAGACAATAAATCGTTTAACATCTGTCAATGTCATGACAAATCAAACATAATCGAAGAAAGTTTTGCTTTCTTATCAAAACACAATACGAATTACTACTAAATGAACAAAAAAGATAATGATGCACCTTACCATTTATTTTATATCCTCGTAATTATTTCCTTGTTTGATGGGGTCGAACCACAAACTCATTTACCAATTAGGTAGAAAAACTCACGCCTAGCGAATACAATGCACGTGAAAAAAATGCTACCAACAGCAGCTGCACATTCACTTCCCAACAGGTTAACTTCAACACTGCGCGAAACAGTGCTGCCAGAGCAGATGGTCGGATAATCCGTATATATTCGTGGAAATTTCCATTAATGGTGGGGGGAAGCCTCGAAAAATCCGTAAAAATCCGTTTTTGTCTAAATTTCGAAAAATTTCTTCTATAAGGGGGATTTTCGTGACAAAACATACCTTTCGTCAAAGAAAATCCGAAACATCTCAGAATTTTTCGGGGGAGTTTCAGAAGTTTGAACCTCTTCGTCAGTGATATAATTCTCGTCACTTTCCATTTTTCACAAAATAAAGTATTTTATATACAGATTCGGATATATAATAAACATTGACTTTGAGATCAAAATATTGCCACAATGCAGTTCAATGCACTGAACTGGAGTCAGTATTGGTTAGTCGTTACTATTGGTGGCATTGCGCCGCTTATATATTGGCAGCAATAACAACGTGTTATAAAACCTTAACAAATGATATGAAACTATCGTTCTCTTTGTCACACTCAATGAAAAAGCATATGTTTCGCATATATTCGGCGTTTAAGAACCCTATATTAAGAACACATCCTTTTTCAATCCGCTTTCTTTTTCTGTCTAACGTAGTAAAAAGGAAGAGGAATAGAAGCGTGACAAAGATGATCAAAAAACGGGGCAAAAATGATGTTTTTTTAGTATTAGTATGAAGCTATCTTAAAAATCCGTAAAAATCCGTATTTGATGAAAATCCGTTCAAAATCCGTTTCCAATTTCTCTAGACCTGGAAAATCCGTAAAAAACGGATAAATCCGTTCATCTGGCAGCACTGGCGCGAAATGCACCATCTTCTTTGTTGATCTTTTAGTTGCGCGGTTGCCAGTTGTGATTATTTATGGCAGATTACACGAAAATAAAGATTCTTCAATCGGTCCACAATTTAAACGATTTCAACACTTGTTACCAAAGTGTGACAGCGTTTATGAAAAAAGGAACCAAGCTCCAAAAACTTTTTCTGAGGTAAACAAAATTATTTGCAAAATAACTTATTTAAAATAAGTTACTTTAATGTTATTTAAAAAATTAATAATGATTCTTTTGAAAACAGTTCCAAATGAAGAACCTTTTGACCATTATTAAAAATGAGTTATTTCACAAATAATTTTACTAAGGCCAGAAAAAGTTTTTGGGGCTTGGAATTTGGAATTTAAAAGTGATTCAGACCAATTGTGTTGGGTTATTTATCTACTCCTAAGATAATAAGCTTTGACTTCATGGCGTTTTAGTCACGGGCTGAAGTTAGCAATAGGGGCTTTTGGGCTTTTTAGACAATGGCTTTATTATAAATTGGGAAAAAGTTAAATTCGGGTGACAGTTGACAGATGTCAATTTTTTTTACAAATAAAATTGGCTTTAAATTCTTATTTCTGTTCATCGTAGATAAAGTATGGTATGCATGCTTCTCTGGATTCTTTGGACCAATCATTAAATTTGACTTATGTCAGATCTATCTAACCTCACTTTATACTTTTAATATATGTACGTTTTATGTATCGGTTGGCAAATAAAATTGTGCCTTTGCTCAATTGAACATTTTAAGTTATTAAAAACTTAAAAAAAAAACAAACAAAAAAAACTTGGCAACACTGTGTCTGTGATAAAACAACAATAACATATTTCACATTTTCAAACCGTTGCTATGAAAACAGCTCATATAAGGCAGTTTGTATACTTTGGTTCGTACTAAAAGTTATTCAGTATTTTAATGTTTTTCCAAAATTTTTCCAAAATTTGGTTTTAATTCCAAATTACCTACCTTTTTAAATTATTAACAAGTTCTCAATCTTTTTTTAGGCCAGCGCCCCCTGATTACCAGCGCCCAGGGCACCCTGTCCTAAGACCGGCACTGACTATTATTAAATGCATTGCTTGAAACTTGACATTCTCGTCCATTCAAGTCTTCCTGTTAAATAATAATTCTAAATGCAGAGTTGTTATATGCAACCCAGTATACATATGATGTTTGTATTGTAACATAGATTTGGTACTGCACAATTTTCTAAATTAGAACCTCCCGCCCACCCTGTCAATCCCTTGTCTATGATTAGAACCATAGAGACCCAAAATGTAGGTGTACTTACAAAATTAGGGTTTTTTTCTAATTTTTACGCAGTTTTTAATTACTTTTCCAATTTTTAAAAAAAATAAAAGTTCTACTAAGGAAAAAATATAAATTTACGTTTGTGAATTATAATAATCCTGTGTTTCATTTTATGCATTCATGTTTTATTTTTTAAATCTTCTTGAATTAACAAGCTTATTACTATCCTATTATAATAAATTGAATTGGACTAATCATTAAATCTCTGTTTTTCCAAAATTTACTTTTAATTCCAAATGACCTACCTACTTTTTAAATTATTGATGCAGAGTTGTTATATGCAACCAAACATACATGTTATGTTTGTATTATTGCATAGATACTGATAGGTACTGTATACAATTTTCTAAATTAGAACCATAGACACAAAATGTAAGTGTACAAAATTAAGGTTTTCTTGTCATTTTTATGCAGTTTTTAATTACTCTTCTAATTTTTATTAAATCACTAATCTAACAAAAATGCTATGACATATGAGGAGGTGCATCCGAAAACTCGGCTTATCCATATTAGTTCACTTTAAGGAAAATGTAAAAATCCTTTCACGTGAGTATTAACGCATATCAGACCAACAGAATTTAAACAAAATAGGTATATAGGTCCTATATTATAGGCGTAAGTACAATATTTAAATACCTTGATTAAAAAGGTAGGTATAGCTTCAATTTGAAATAATTTAAAATTACTTACGTATTAAGCCGAGTTCTGACATAATATAACCAATAGATAAGGCAAGTTTTGGAACGATATATCGCGATAGTCAATTTGTAAATGAATTTTAAATGGAATATAAGGAAAGTTTTAGAATATTATGATCTTTTCAGGGTATACCTATAGGTACATGTTAAATGTACAGACACCAGTAACTCATTTTTTTTTTAAGTGGATAAGCCGAGTTTTGGAATGGACCTCCTCATATTATGTCATAGGCTACGACTAATAGCATTTCTACAGAGAATCCAACAGTTAGATATGTATTAGTTTGCATATATATGTAGATAGATGCAGTTTTTTCTTAGATATAGTATAATAAACACATAAGGTTGTAAGTAAATATTTATTATGAAGTATAGTATAGGCTTTATAAACAAAAATGGTAGGTACTTAAGATACATAAAATAATATGAGCAAATAGATAATAAGGAAAAGCTAAAAATACTAAAAATATAATCAATTAAAATAGCACAGTTAATATGTATAAAAAATCCGTTTATTTAAGTAGTGTCCACTTCACTCTAGTCTAATTTAACTATCCTATTAAATAAGACCGAGTTTTATCGAGAGGAACTAAAAAAAATCAGTACAATTGCAAATTGGCACTAGTAAAGTAAAATCACAACGACAAAAATTTCATTAACGTGTCGTAAATCAATCTGGGACTAATGGTTCCATCAGCGGTGTATCGGACGCCACGCAGCGAGCCATCGTCGTGGTTCACCACGCCATATTCCCCCACAATGAACCCATCCGGCGTCCGCTCCTCCAGGCGGTACTTCCGGAACTTCCGGCCCTCCACCACGTACCCAACCTTCTGCTTGTCGTCGTCTTTCTTCGCTTCCTTTTCCGTTTTCGATGGAGTGGGTTGAAGGCCGTGGGCCCTGCCGTTCGAAACCAGGCTCACGGACTCGTCCACCTCGTAGTTTTGCTCCGGTTGTCCGTACACTTTGGGTTTACTCTTGGGTGTGGTCGTGGGGGCTTCCCAGTTCTTCTCAACGGATTTTATGGTGGATTTTTCGTCGTTTAACTTGTTGGCAAAAGCGCTGCCGCCGTTGTAGTTTCTTTCGTGTCTTATTGGCTTGACATCGCCACTCAATTGCGTCGGTATGGATTGTATCACCGTGCTGTAGGATACGGATCGTGCGTTGTTGTTGGTGCCTTGACCTTGGTCGTGGTAAATGACAGTGTGATGGTAGGGAGTTAACTTCTCCCCATCGTTTCCTCTGGTAAAATCGGGCGTTGGGTTGAATGTGAGATGCTGCGGTCTGGGCAGAGCTTGAACGCTTGCTGGATACCCTCGACTGTACTCCGATGTTTCCAAATCGCTGTTCCTCGTGATGGGGTCTTTTTCCTCCACGTTGAACGCGCTTTGCTTCACATCCGCGATTATGCTTGGATGTTCCTCGGAGGCCACTAACTCCTGATCGGGAATATCGGCTAACGCATTTTTATTGCTTAAAGTTCTGCCTACGGACGACGAAACGCTTACCGAAACTACAACACTAGAATCACTGGAGTCCTTACTGCTAACACTCACAAGTCTTTCCGTGGTCGAAGCCACTTCCGGCGTGGTACGAATCCTGCGGACGTTCTCATCTTTTTTCGTGTTTTTCACTTGAAACGTTGTCGGATGTTCCGTGGTCGTGGTGGTGTAGGTTTCTTTGAAAGCTCTGCGCAGGGTGGATCCCATGAAGACGGAGAGGAAGTCTGCTCCTGCTATCAGGTCCGCATCGGCACCGCGTTCCTGCCGCCCCAGCGGCAGGCCTTCAGTTGCCATTTGCGTTCCACACATGATCTGAAAACAAAATAAAAAATGGTATTATGCAACTTTTGAACAGGGTGTATCAGATATTGATTAAATATAGATGTTGCCCTTGAAAGTTTGTCTTTGCATAAGGCGTGTGTGTTAGGTTTTCTTTAAACGTAATGTAATTATCATGTGAGAACTTTTTGTTAAAATTTATACCTGGATTTGTCATTTTCTTTTCAAAGAAATAATAAAAATTTAAAATGATATAAAATCTGTATGATTTGGATTTTTTAAATAAAATTCGAAATTTGTCGATAAACTATGGTAAATAATAAATTGCACCAATTAAATTTATATTATATTAATTGGGGGCGCCATGGGGCCGGTACGGCGAGCAAAAAGTTATCTTTTTTTTGCAAACTTTAATTTAAATTCTGCTTGCGCAGAACTTGTTAATTTAATGTCATTATAAACTCATATAAATTTGGTGTGGGTCCCATATCTAATAATTGAGATATCGGTATTCACCCCCCCCCCACTGCTTGACAGTCCATTAAAAATTATCAAAATAACAAAAATCAAACAATTTTTAATCTATAGATGTTTGTAGATATCCTGTATATTATATACATTAAGTAGACTAGAATAGGTAAAAAAATACAAAAAGTTATTCTTTACATTCCAAAAAAATTCCTTACTTTTTAATAAAAATATTTATTCTTTTTTATAGGTATTTGATTTTAGTTAAACAATAGGGTTAACCCTATCGTAAAAATAACATATTTGGTGTAAAAAATTCTCAGCTATCAGAATATAATATAAAATTTGAAATAAAAATTGACGCCAGGCCAGAAAAATCGCATTTTTTACTTATTTTAATTTTTAAGGGTCTTTACTTGTAATAGAGAATGAATATTTTCATTATTAAAACAGTAGGTACTGTTTGTATTTTTATAAAACATAATATCTAACGGGGGCCACACCTTAACAAAAAATTATTTGGTGAAATGACTCATATATAGAGGTTGTAATTAAGAGAATGGCTTGTCTTAGCAAAAAATTTTAAAGGAAAAAATTGTAGAAAATTTAGTTCTCTGCTATCGTTAAAGTGTACCGTTTAAAACATATTACACTGGCCGACAGCCATTTTGGTGCAGGCTAGACAACAACTTTTTTAGGGTAATTTGAGTACGCCGAATCCAAAAATGACCATTATTTTGCTCAATCAGCTTTTGTTTTTACGATGTAGACAAAAAACAATTTTTTTATATGCGCACATTCAAAATTTGAATGTGCGCATATAAAAATATACAATTATCAATGTATATGGTATTTTTTACAGTTTAATAAAGACCCAAAGCAACATTACCAACTATTCTTGGTTAAATTAGAAGTTAAAAAAATATATTTTTTTAACTTCTAATTTAACCAAGAATAGTTGGTAATGTTGCTTTGGGTCTTTATTAAACTGTAAAAAATTATGGTATTTTTTACAGTTTAATAAAGACCCAAAGCAACATTACCAACTATTCTTGGTTAAATTAGAAGTTAAAAAAATATATTTTTTTAACTTCTAATTTAACCAAGAATAGTTGGTAATGTTGCTTTGGGTCTTTATTAAACTGTAAAAAATACCATATACATTGATAATTGTATTCTCTTTAAAAATCTTGCTTTCATCGAAAGAAAATCTACTTTTTAGCCAAAATTCGGAAATTTTTAAAATTCAAAGTGATACAGCATGATTAATTTTTGCCCGATTTAAATTAAAATTTTATCTTAATAAAGTAGATAAATAGAGCTACAAATAGGGTAAATTTTATTTAAATCGGGCAAAAATTGATCATGCTGTATCACTTTGAATTTTAAAAATATCCGAATTTTGGCTAAAAAATCGATTTTCTTTCGATGACAGCAAGAGTTTTAAAGCGAATACCATTATCAATGTATATGGTATTTTTTTTAGTTTAATAAAGACCCATAGCAACATTCCCAACTATCCTAGCTTAAATTAGAAGTTTAAAAAATATATATAAGAATTTGAATGTGCGCACTGCGCATATCGAAAAAAATGGTTTTTATTCTACATCGCAAAAACAAGAGCTGATGGATTCAGCGTACCTAAATTACCCTTAAAAAGTTGTTGGTTGCCATGCACCAAACAGAAATTTTATTTTTGTTGGCCTGTGTTATTCATGGAATCGAATTTAAAACAAATTAATCTCAAGAAAACACAAATTTTTTAAAATTTTAAACTGGTCATATCTTGTAAACTGCGCACTTTAGCGATATAAAGGTAAGGACTTTTTTGTAGAGAATTACATTTTCTTCAATTTTTTCCCTTAAAATGATAAGTGTATATTATACATAATAGACCAGAACAACAGATTAACCAAAACATAATTCACTACATCTGTGGTAGGTTGCTAATAAGTAAAACATAAAAGTAAATCTTAACGATCCTTTATAAAAAGCAAAATTTATGAGGGTAATTTACAAATTGAGCCAATTATAGGCAATTATCGTAACACTAAAATTATATTTATAATGGTAATAATTTATTATCATGAAATCGTTTTATAGGGCAACTGAACCGGATACAACTTTTCATATACATATAGGTAGGTGAGTAATTGAAAAACCGGTGTTATTGTTTGTAAAATTTAAGTCGATTAATTGAGCATTTATTACAATAAATAAATAAATAATCAAGTACCTATTGATTTGTTTACTAAACATATTTTGTAGACCAACTTACATAAATACAAAGAACTTAATTATTAATGTATCTACGTACAATTTTTAAATTCTTCTATTATCCAATTACATTGTTGATCAGTGTATATGAGTTGATAAAATTGTTGTTTTACCAAATATCCAAAAATATTTGTTTTATGTACAATATACTTACCACACCTTATTTTGACCTTTATAAAATCCATTGTACTTATTTGAAACCGGATATCTACTTACCAAGTATGTTTATATAAAATATTATTCCCAGTATTAATTATTATTGTCTATGTAGGTAGGTACATTTATTTTTAACTAAATTTATAGGTAAGTATTTCAATAAAAAGTTTTTATTAAAAACCTTTTAATTAATTTCTGGAAACCCTATACAGTAAGGTGGTTCTTATTTGACCAATGTCAAAATTTAAATCGTGCCGCCCCCTCTTTTGTTTTTAAAAAATATAAAAAAAATGTATGCCAAATTTGAATGTCCTAACTTATTTCCTTCTATTGCCTGTAACAACGAGAAGTTTTCCAGATAGAGGATTTTTGCCTTTAATGTATTATTTTGTAAATTACTACTAATCTAATCTAAAGTATAATTTTTTGGGAAAATGTAGATGATACGAGGTATGTTCAGAAAATATCGGGAATTTTCGTTTTTTGAAAAAAATATTTATTTCAAAATTTCATGGGATGAGCCAATCGATATACCAACATCATCAGCGACTTCTCTGATGGTTTATAACCATTTCTTCCACTTTTTCCATGTTTTTATCGGTTGTTAATGTGCTTGGACGTTCGGGGAGTTCGTCATCTTCAACGTCTTCAAGTCCATCTTGGAAACTCCTATACCACTTGTAAACTCTTGTTTTACTTATAACAGACTCATTATAGGCCTTGCAAAAAAAGACTGTTGTAAACGATTTTTAAAATAACAAAAACCTAATTATCTGGGTTTTATTTTGTTTTTTTTTTGGCATTTTAACTATGATACTTTCTATAAAAATAAATTGTTCGAAAACAATCTAAAAATCAATTTCATTATTTACATAATTGTAATTTTGTACTTTTCTAATGTTGGTGCTTCCTAAATATCTTTTAGGCAATCTAAAATTATTTGCTTTATAAAACAAATAATTTAAGATTGCTTAAAAGATATTTAGGAAGCACCAATATTAAAAAAGTACAAAATTACGTTTCAAAACACACTAATTATGCATTAAATGCAAATTATCACTGATATATTGTTTTTATGCCATTTTCAATAAAATAACAATAATAATTAAATGAAGTAAAAAAGAAGTTACTATGGACATACATGAATTTTTGCCATATTTTCCCTTCATTTCCCCAAAAAATTAGAATTGTTCATTAATTATTAATGAATTTATAAAATTATTGCGTTTTAAAGCAAAAATCCCCCATATGAAAAACTGTAAGTAAATCGAGCGAAGTAAAAAAGACCTTAGGATGAAAATACATGATTTCTTTTTTTTTTGTTTAAAAGTAACTTATTTCCTCTACATTTTCTCAAAAAATAATACTTTTTCATAGATTAATAGCAATTTAAAAAAATTAATACACAGTTTTTCATATGGGGGATTTTTGCTTTTGTTAGGACATTAAAATTTGGCATACATTTTTTTAATATTTTTTAAAGAAAAATGAGGGGGGTGGCACGATTAAAATTTTGACATTGGTCAGATGTCTAGGTAATAGCCAATACCGAGAGCTTTCGCCTACTCTCTAAACACCCTGTATATGAAAAATTATTATCTTTAAGATGTTTTTAATGATTTCTTTTATGAGAGCCCCGACAAATATGCAAACAAACAAAGTTTATTATAAATAAAAACCAAGGATATAAGTAAGAAGGATTTATTGATGTTTACATCAATTTATCTAATAAATCCTATAGGGGTAGGTAAATATTAAAATAAATAAGATATCCATTAACATTCCATCGAAAAAATCTAGTGGAGGTAAATCGTAACCTCTAGGTCAAAACTAACATACTCATTCAAGAATGCTATTAATTTACACTTAATAATCTATTAGTGAAAAAACACGCAACCAATAATAGTAAACACTTAATAATAATAATAACATCTTTTCCGGGCCAAAACAAATTAATTTTTTATAAATATTTGTTCTTGAAATATCCTCAGGTTGATGAAATTTAATGCTGCGAGACTTTTTATAGCGCAATTAAATTAATAACAGTCGGAGGTGGCCTTGTCAAGGCTGTAATTTGTTTGTTTTTTTAACCTGAAAATCTAGAAGGCGCCATGGCTCGCCATAGGGAACAA